GCCAAAGCTGATTCAAACCCAAGCCAGGAGCCAGGAGCCTCTTCCCCATCTCCGATGTGGGTGCAGAGTCCCAAGGCTTTGGGCCATCCTCCACCACTTTCCCAGGCCACAAGCAGGGAGCTAGAAGGGAAGTGAACCAGCCAGGACATGAACTCCGTATGAGATCCAGGTGTTTGAATGTGGAGGATTAGCTAATTGCGTTATTATTCCAGCCCCGAGATGAAACATTTTGTACAAGCACGAAGAGTTAAGGGGCTGCAGATTAAGCCACCACCTGCTATGCAGCATCTCATATTGGAGAGCCAGTCAGTTTGAATCCTGGTTGTTCTGCTCCTGATTAATGCAGCTTGGAAAGGTTCAAGTACTTGGGCCCCTGACATGCACGTGTGAGACCCAGATGGAATTCCAGGATCCTGGTTTTATCTGGTCCAGGCCTGGCAGTTGCTGTCATTTGAGGAACGAGTCTGTGGATGGAAGAGCTCTTCCGGTATCTCCCCTTTTCTCTGTCTTTCAAATAAGTAAAGTAAATCTTTCAAGAAGGAAACTAATCAAACTGGGCTAGAAACACCGTTCTGTTCATTTGAGATGTTACTATTTGAAGAGTAGCCCATGAGTAAGGGAGGAGATTATGTGATTTTGAGGGGGCTGGCGTTGTGGTGCAGCTGATGCTTGGCACTATGTGAGTTCCCAGTGAGCACCTGGTGCCAAGTCCTGCCTCGGTTCTGATCCGCCTTCCTGCTCATGTGCCTGAGAGGCAGCAGATGATGGCACAAGCGCTTGAGTTCCTGCCACCCACGTGGAAGAGTCGGATGGAGCTTCAGGTTCCTTTGCTGGCCGTTGTGGGCATTTGGGGAAGAGAACCAGTGAAAGATCTTTAGCATTACTCTGCCTTTCAAGTAAATATTGTTTCTAACTAGAGAGCTTGACAAGGGAGTAACTGGATGATGAGTGGTGATGGGCAGGGACGTGCGACAATGAGTACACGTTTTCCTGAGAGATGAAAGCAGTGAGCTGGCAGGCAAGCCATTTCTTAGGGCGGGGGGTTCCGGAGGGTGGAGAGGGATGGTGCCACTGGCCCTGCATTGTTGAGTCACTGTGAACTGGAGGACTATCTGCTATGTATTCTAGTCCTACATACCCTATTCTATTTTTCCTCCTTGTCTCCTCAGTTTTTATTTTTTCTTTTTATTTATTTGAAAGGCAAAGTGACACAGATGGGAGAACAGATGTAGGAGAGCAGATAGTCCAAGAGAAAGGAGCAATCTTCCATCCACCAGGTCACTCTCCAAGTGGCCACAACGATCGGGGTTGGACTGGGCCAGGCTGAAGCTAGGAGTCCGGATGTCCATCGAGGTCTCCCACACCGTTGTCAAGGGCCCAAGTGCTTGGCTTGTCTCCCATTGCTTTCCCAGTGCATTATCAGAGTTGGGTAGGAAGCAGAGCAGCCGGGACCAGAACCAGTGATCCTTTATTGTGATGCTGCTGGTGGCTGAACCCACTGAGCCACAACACCCACCACTGCCTTCCCAGTTTATGGTAACCGTTCATCTTTGCTATAGCAACATAGACATCGCCCTCTCCCGAAACTAAGACAGAAATGTAGTTTGAGGGCTTGTAAAGGGATCCAAAGAAAACAGCGAGGAGATGGCATCTGTTTCGCTAGACTGTGTTTCGTACACAATTGGTAAGCAGGGAATGACAATAGTATCACATCAAGTCCTGCTGGGTCACACGAAGGAGGTTTTCAGCATGTGGGTGCTTTGCGCACTAAGCAACAGTATCTAACACAACCTTCCCACACAGCCACTCCTGTGAGCTACCTTCTCTTCTTCCGGTCAACCAGTGCTCCCTGCAAACCACACACTGACAGGTGCTTCCCGAGGTCACAAGGTATTAACCTCCATCCTTTCTATTCAAGGGTACTATTACCTCACCTCTGAGGGTCAAAAAGGATCCAGAGGGTTTTTTTTTTTTTTTTTAAGCTTCTTCCCCTTTAAAGAAGAGGACACACAAGCCTCTGGCTGGAAAACAAAAACAAAACCTGGAACCCCGAGCGGGACTCGAACAGCCCCCACTGCTCCTCATGGACCACCGCCTGTGCACACAAAGGCCGGAAGTGCGGCCGGCGTCCCCCGACTCCTGACATGCCCCCTCTAGGACCCCGGAGGCCTCCCGTCTTGGTGGCTGCCTTCCTCAAGCCTCCGGATTCCCGAGGCGTGTGAACCCTCCCTCCCGCACAACTGGGGCAGCGAAATGAGTTCAAAGAAGCCAAATTCATTAGCTCATATTCCGCTGGAAATGTGCGCAGAGGGGCTGGAGCATGGGGGTCATTGTGCTGGTGAGACCCCAGCGGTGGGAGGGTTGGAAGGACATGCCACTTGACAGGACCCCACACCCCAAGCCTGGTGACAGGCCCCCCACACCCCGACAGGACCCCACACCCCAGACAGGACCCCATACCCCACACCCTGGTCAGGACCCCATGCCCCGTGACAGGCCCACATGCCCCGTGACAGGACCCCATGCCCTATGACAGGACCCCATGCCCTGTGACAGATCCTCACACCCCGTGACAGATCCCCACACCCCGGACAGGACCCCACGCCCTGTGACAGATCCTTATACCCCGGACAGGACCCCATGCCCTGTGACAGGACCCCACGCCCGTGACAGGACCCCACACCCTGTGACAGGACCCCACTCCCCGTGACAGGACCCCACGCCCTGTGACAGATCCTCACACCCTGTGACAGGACTCCATGCCCTGTGACAGATCTCCACACCGGATAGGACGCCCCAGGCCTGGGAGGAAAGAGCACCAGTGGGATGAAAACTTGTGTGCTTCAAGTGGCAGGAAGCAATAGCCATTCCAACCAGAGAGAGAAAAATAAGTGTGTGCTCATTATTAGGATACCTATTACTCAAATAAATAAATAAAGTAGGTGCTGGAGAAGAGGTGAAAAAATTAGAATCCACGTGCATCACCGGTGGGAAGCGGGATGGCTCATTCTCTGAAAGAAAAATACCCATCACAGGACCCAGCAATGCCAAGTCTAGTGAGATGTTTAGTGCCAAGACCTGGAAACAGGGACGTGGGCTCTTTGTAAATTTGCATTTTTGTCATTGACAAAGTATCTGGAGAAGACACAGTTCTGTGTAATAATCATTAGTCCTTGCTAAAAAAAAAATTTTCTTTAAAGGCTGGAATTTCCAAAAGCGGATTGTTACCACAATACAAATACTTGCAAATATTTGTAGGTGGTGTTAACTGATGCTTCGCAGCTGGATCTGGCACTAATACGTTGGCGCAAAGCTTCTGTTGGGATGAATGCATTCTCAGGTCTATAGTGCAGCACGACTGCTTCAAGATCACAGAGTTGGGTCCTCAGGGTTCTCCCTGCCGCTAGGGGGAGCCCGATCACACTCCATCAGTGGGTCCATGGCGTCCTCTAGTGGCAGTAACACAACATGGCCATTTGTTCTAGTGTACTTGCTTCATCTCTAGAGTTTATGAAAGCATCACATATACAACAGATACACAATACCACATTCTTGGATGAATCAATAAATGAGCATAGGTGATAGAAAACATTATGTATGATGACCATTAAGTTCTCTGTGGCTAGAACAGCAAGTGGAAAATAGGGTTGGGAAAGCAGAACTGAGCAAAAATAAAGAGGATCTTAACAGGAAAGCCATTTAAGTCCAACACAGGTTGGTGTTTTCTGTCTAATTTGTGTGTGCCATCCTGCCGTCCACCTGGTGAATCATCCCCTGAGGAGTACTAAGGTAATACTGGGAGACTGAAGAGTTCCTACAGAAATCTTTCTCAGATTGCACTTGAGGTTGGTCCACATTTGAAGGTGGTGGTGCTTTGTTGTGTGAGAAGGAGGAGACCATGGAAGGACTTGTGTTTGGTTCTCTGGGCTCCCTTTTCCTCCCTGATGTGCCCTGTTGATGCCCATGGTTCAGCTCCACTCCCAGGCTGTCACATTTGTCCGGCCCATGCGACGTTCTCCTCTCAGCCATGTCACATCCAAGAGTTGGGGGTAATCTGTCAACCTCTTCTTGGAGAGCTGTTTTAAGCCTCCGGACATCCTTTGAAGTCCAACTCCCTCCAGGAAGTTTCCTACAAGTTTTTGGATCTCTCTGTGCTTTTCTCCTCCCATACACCTGGCCAGAATTTGGAGATTTTTTTTTTAAAAAAAGATTTACTTATTTTTATTGGAAAGGCAGATCAGATTTATGGGGAGAAGGAAAGATAGAGAGAAAGATCTTCCATTCATTGGTTCACGTCCCAGATGGCCACAATGGCCAGGAGCCTCCTCTAGGTCTCCCATGCGGTGCAGGGTCCCGAGGCTTTGGGCCATCCTCCACTGCTTTCCCAGGCCATAAGCAGGGAGCTGGATGGGAGATGGAGCAGCTGGGACACCAACCAGTGCCCATATGGGATCCTGGCACTTGCAAGGTGAGGATTTAGCGAACTGAGCCATTGCAAAGGACCTAGGATTTGGAGATTTTGACCTTTCCTCTCCACCTGTCCTAGGCCCGACCCATCTTTCTGGTCATATTTGGAGCCACATCTCATGTTCTGAGCTACATTAGCCCTGACTTGTTTGTGCGGACTTTGATTGTTTCTTTGACTTGTAAAGTTTGTTCTATCACTTTTATTTGCTCAAGGTGTCATCCTATCTTGAAATTTCAATTTCTATGCTTTAATATTGTTTTCTTCCCTTAGAGGAAACATTTTGCCCAGAAAAGAGGAATGTGCATTTATCAGCTTTGATTTCTCAGACTGGACCCAAAGATTGATACATAAACATAGCTTGCAAATTGAGGCTTTCAAGAAAGACAAGATGGTCCACTCAAGATTCTGAAGGCTGAGAATGAATTTTTCTAAGATATCAGTGTGGAGGACTGATTCTGGGAGGCTGAAGGAAGGATGCACAGGACATTCTCATTGTGTATGAAGGAAAACACAGGCCACAGCCAGTGGAGGCCCGAGATAGAGAGGTCACATAAAGGTGACCCAGATGACAAATCACACTCAAACGGACTTGGATGAGGCCCAAGAACGTTGGGGTTGATTCCTTTTCTTTGGGAGTATACCCTGGAAAGAGAAAGCCTGGCAAATAAGTCCTGGTTGTGTCTGGTCCAAGGCCAATGTGGCATGAGAAAGGCCAGTATGGTTGGAGTCCGGGGCTGTGTCTTCCAGGGAGCAAGGCAGTTCTGGGGGAAACTGAGGCACAGAAGAGGCATGGGTTTGTGTTAAACAGGCTGCAGAGTCGTAGGACCTCCCAGTCAGGCCACAGCCATGTCTGTGGTGAGCAGTGGATACCTGAACAAAGCCGAGGAACTAAGTGGTCCAAACCATATCTGAGATGCCCCAGGCCCAGATGCCAAGTGAACATTGCTTTGAGTGGGTACTAAGACTTCCTGATGAGTCAAATGATACAGCTGAGTCACATTTTAGGATTTGAAAAGACTTTGCTCTGTTGTGCTACCCATGTTGCTTATTGTGAATTAGGTTTTTGCAGATCAGACAATGGAGGGGGCCAGTATGGATGAGGCATTTGTCAGTGAAGGTCAGCGCAGAAGACACCCAAGCCTTCTGTCCCCACCCCGCCACTTCTCTGGCCCTTATACCGCTGAAGATACTGATCTCTAAAGTTCAGTTCTCTCACGTCAGGCAGAGAGGGGATGGCTACTGGTGCCGTGGAGTCTGCACTTTGCCTCCAGCCCTCGCTTTCTGTCTCTGGTCCAAGAGTACTGTGAGGGGCTGGGCCAGACTGCGGTGCTCCACGTGGCACGAGTAGGGTGCTCGGTCCTGAGGGGACACTCCCACCACCACCCAGGCTTGGTAAGTGCCCTTTCCGCTGGGGAGCACGTATCTCTCTAACTCAGACTTCTGCACCTCTCCGGCCCGAGTCCAGTGCAGACCAATCCCTCCTGGGTAAAAATCATAGGCCAGACACTTGAGGGTCCTGTTCCGTCCTGGGACCATGTGGCTGGTGACTGTCACTGAGGGAGGATCTGTGGAGACACAGGCATGGTGTTGAGGGCGTGCTGTGGCTTCTTCCATCCCCCACTCCCTGGTTTCAATGATTGGTCGAGCTCTGAGCTCTATTCAAACCCCCTGCTTCTGGGCACTCTCGTCCCCCAGACAGTCTTATTTCTGAAATACAACACAGACCATTTTCCCTACCAAGACCAGGGAAGGCTGATGCTTTCCTTATAGTGTTTCCTGTGGGATCAGAAAATTTCTGTGGCTGCTCTCTCCCCTCTCTGCCCCACCATGGGTGGATTCCTCTTTGATGGCCAAAGTTCTGAGTGAATACACTTCTCTATTACCCTCCACCCCCAAACTTCAATGGCCTGACAGCTGTCTCCTGCCCCGCCTCCCAAAGCCCGGCTTCCTGGTCCTGTCTGCAGCTTTGCTTGTCAAACTCTTTCCTCCTGCACTGCGTGGTCTTCTCAGATGAGCGTCCCAGCTGGCGGCTTTCAATTCTGCTCACACGTTCTCACTTTGAGTGTTTCACAGCAGACATTTTACACACTTGCCTTCTCTACCACTGAGACAGGAGGTATCAGCAGCACAGAGACGACTCTGGCACGTGACATCTGAAATACGGGGTCCGAGTCCCAGCTCTGCCCCTCACTGGAGTGTCAACCTCTGATCTCAGCTTCCTCTTCTATCACTGGGAGGTCTCCCTGAAGATTGGCTTTCTTGGCCAATCCTGCCTAAAGTTTTCATAAACATTCCGGTTAAAAAACTGAATTTATTTGAGACACACAGAGAGAAAACCATTTGCTGGTTCATTCTCTCGATGCCTGCCAACAGCTGAAACTGGGCCAGGCAGAAATGGGAATTTGGAAACTCCATCCCGGTCTCCCATGTGCATGGCAGGGACCCAACTGTGTAAGCAGTCATCATTTGCTACCTCCCAGGGAGGCACTGCCAGGAAAGCGGAGTCAGGATTGCCATTGGGACTTGAGCCCAAACACTGCATTGTGGCCTTTGGATCTAATGCTCACCCCTTCCCAGAGAAGTAATAAATCCTGGGAGGTAAGAGCCTGGAGATGAGGGACTGCCGGTGCAGATGGCAGCAGGCTGAGATGTTGCCCTGTGCTCCAAGCCCGATACCCCCTCCTTTCTCAGCTCAGGACTGGGGAGCAGCCATGGGAAGTGAGGAGTACCTTGTTGGTCCAGGTGAGTTCTGCTGTGGTTCAGGTACCTCCGCAGCATCCCTGGGCACTCCTCTTCCAGGTAGGCCTTGGCCCGCTGCACGTACGCTGGTTCCGCTTCCCACTTTTTCTTGGTGTTCAGGGCTGCTGGGTCCAAGGCAACCCAGGCCGGTATCTCCTTGTTGAATTCGATGAAGTCGTGTCCGTCGTAGGCGTACCTCCAGAATGCTCCACTGCTTCTGTTACTGTGGAGCTCACAACCGAACATTGCCTGGAAGGTGTGAGACCCTGAGGCCTCCCCGGACCCCGCGGGGAGCCAGTCAGTCTGAGGTCAACTCCATCTGAACAGCTCTCACGCCCCCACCCTTTGTAATGCAGTTGGAGGAGAAATTTTTGAAATCTAAGCATGTAGCTCCTTTCTGGGTCAAATAAGTCACAGCAGAGGGAGGCGGGCAATCTCTGCTTTGGTTTCCAGACTCTCCATTTTCACACCTTTCAGATTTTATTGTTTTCTTGTTTTCTTTTGGACAAGGAGAGATGAGCTACACTCCTCTAGCCAGGGTATTTCACAGAGCTAGAGGCAGATTTTTCGCTCTTCTGCATCATGGGGAAGCTTGCTTGTTTTGTTAGGAACATGATACAACATGCCCAGATGCATTGCCAAGTTAAATAGAAATGATTGGCGGTTTTATATAGCTGGGTGGAGCCAATCTCTTTTATTCCACATTTCTAGCACCTCAACCCCCATCGCATGAACAGTGACTCTCAGAAATTGACTTCCTGGCACTAGGGGAAGAACGCAAGCTCTTGGTTCTAATCATAAAAGCAGGCATGTGTCTCAAACCGGTTGGTGCTGTTGATTCTCAAGCCCTCTGGGCTTAAATCCCAGATCTATCCCCACTCCCACTTGACCTTCTGCATATCTGCCTGAGTAATGAACCTCATTTTGCTTTACTTTTCCCATTTCTGAAATGGCAATGGTGGTAGCACTATTTTGGAGGGTTATTGGGAGCGTCAAATGTGTTAACTGTTGTACCAGGCACATAGCAAGTGTTCACTAGATGGTACCTGATATTATTTTCCGGTAGCCTGATTTCACTCTTTGTTCATCCCCTTTACTCATAGTGATTCAGCCCAGCACTTCCGTCTCAGTCAACCCAAGTTTCTCCCACTGTCTAATCCGAACTCCTTGGTTCTCCTCACACAGCATAGACCATTTTCTTCATACCAAGCCTTCCCATTCCACATCCTTCAGATTTCTGCCTAACCCTTGTCTCCTTTTGCAAACCTTCCAATCCCAGGTAACTTCTCAGACGTTATGCTAAACACTACCCTTGAACACTCACCCTAAAACAATTAAACAGCAACAGTTCACCAGGCCTGAGATGGGATGAGGCAGGAGGTTGGCAGGGTTTGGCAGAAGGAAGAGTGCTGGGCCTGGAGACACGAGAGGCTGTCTCTGTGCAGCTTTGCCAGCAGCTGCTCACATACGTGTAGGCAGGACCTCGCCCATGTCTGCTGCTTGTAGATGGAAGATCTTTATGGCTCTGTGTAATAGTCTGTGGTTTTGCATCCAGCATTTAGTCAACTACCAGGTTGAGCCATGTTTTGGGCTAAGTACTTTGTCTGATCAGTCTACCAAATTTCAGTTGAGCAAATACCTAACCTAGGCCATGGCCTAAAGGATTAAGACGGATATAGGCACATTTTGCAACATTTCTTGGAAGTAAATTTCAGTGCTCCTTTTCAGACCAAGTGGCTAGGAAGCTTGCTCACTGTCTAACAGCTGGTGATGGCCTGAAGTCCCCGTGTGAAGTCAGGTCTGACTGATCCCCAGCGTTGGCTCATTTTCCACTCACTCAATGACCCCAGATGGGAGTGAGTCTGACATCTTCCAAAATAGGACTGCCCTCAGGCAGGTGAGGATGCAGAGATGAGAGGTCAGAGGTACCCGGATAAAAGTAGATCACTTCCTGCCTGAGCTGAGGCTTGGGTTGAGAATGGGACATCTATAGGGAAGGGGAGACACAGATGTGGGGTGGAGGGAAAGAATGTGATGTGGGCGTGTCTGTGTTTCCATTCACACTTGCCTCTTGAGCCAAACCCCTGGACCCCAGCAACACTTGCCTCTTGAGCCAAACCCCTGGACCCCAGCAACACTTGCCTCTTGAGCCAAACCCCTGGATCCCGACAGCTTGCAGTCCACTGACCTTTGCTCGCCTGGTAGTAGTTCATAGCATCTGTCAGGGTCTCCAGGAAGATTTCCTCCCTGGCCTGCTGAAGCCGACTCTCCTTCTCCCAGTCCTCCATCTCCTCCAGCTGGCTCCACGGCCCCAGAGGCTCTGCCTTCCTGCTCTCGCTGTCATAGTGGAAGAAGGCCTGGTCGTTGAGGAAGGCAGTGGCCTGGAACTTGGGGAAGCCTTTGCTGGGCCTGGATAGCCCAGTGTAGAGAAAGGTCAGAGAGTAAGGACCTGAAAAAGAAGAGAGGACGCAGAGGGCTGGGGTCCACATGTGGGCTTCCGACAGAGGAGCTGCAAGGGATCAGGAGGGAAGGCCTGCTTCTAGGCCCTCTTCCTCCCAGCTCCCAGCCTTACACTGTGGGAGACTCGCATGGTCGAAGAGGTCTGCCCTTAATCTGGGGGTGATATTGCAGAGACCACCCGAGGCCTTCACTACATCATTTCCACTGCTCAGCACACAAGGTGGTAATGATACTTTTTTCATCCTCTTTGTAGGCACTTTGGGACCCTTATGACTACATTCTGGCACAAAGGAAAATGGATGGAGGTGATGTTTTTCTTCTGGCGTGACACCCTATGAGTTGACCTTCCCTGCCTTTCTTCCTTTGGATGATGGCCTTGGAGGCCGCTGAAGAGACTCGAGATGCAAAAAAGCCTAGAGCCCCGAGTTAGCCTGCAGGGGAGAGGAACATGGCTGGATCTGAGGTAAAGTGGATGTGGGTGAGAGGTCAACATTTGTCTGGTGAAAACTCAAAGTTTTCTTTACCACTGGAGCACAGTTGTAATCCAACCTGATGAAACATACAGTCAGAAAACATTGGAAGGAGAACTTGCTAGAAAACTCAAGAAATGATCCAGAATGGGTCAGCAAAGAGTAGCACTAGGCTGGATCTCAGAATCTTGGTACAAAGCAGAGGCTGGGGGTCGGGGGACAGTTCCATCATTACTTTGATAACTAATTCCTAATGTGACTTAGACGGATCTTAATAAGGTTGGTGGGGGCATACGGTGGGTTTCTGGATCAAGTACTGAAATTGTTTAAAAAGTGTTCATGTATTCATTTTTTGTTGGAACAATGGAAGGGCAGAGAGAGGGAGAGAGAGAGACAGAGAGGGAGAGAGAGAGAAACTCTTCTATTTGTTAGTTCACTCCCCACATGCCTGCTGGGATTGAGCCAGGCCACAGCCAGGAGCCTGGAGCTCCATCTTGGTCTCTTTCATGTGTAGCAATCACTTAAGTATTTGAATCTCCATCTGCCACCTTTCTAGTTCATCAGCAGGAAGCTGGATCAGAAGGCAGAGGTGGGCCTTGATCCGGCACACTGACACGGAAGGCAAGTGTCCGAAGCAGTGGCTAAACCTGCTACACTACCGTGCCTGCCCACTGCAATGATTCTTGCTGACTCACTTCTAAGTGTGATGAACACTAAACCAGTAGACCCTCAACAGATCACATTACCCTCTAGGGGTGGGCCTCATGAAGTCAATGGATGATATTAAAAGACCGGAATCCCCCAGAGGAGCAAGAATTCTGCCTTCAGACTCATGAACACATTGTCAACCCTTTCCTGGGTCTTCCACCTCTACTTTGCCCCACAAGTTTAGGACTGCCAGACCTCACACTTGGGTGCCAGTGCCTCAAAATGAATCTTTTTCTCTCTCTGCCCCCATGAGGGTACTTTAGAAAGTTCATGAATAATTGAATTAAGGGATTTATTTCAATATAATTTGTTTTAAGATTTATTTATTTTTATTGGGAAGGCAGATATACAGAGAGGAGGAGAGACAGAGAGGAAGATCTTCACTGATTTACTCCCCAAGCAGCTGCAATAGCTGGAACTGAGCCAATCTGAAGCCAGGAGCCCAGAGCTTCTTCTGGGTCTCCCACGCCGGTGCAGGGTCCCTAGGCTTTGGGCCGCCCTCGACTGCCCTCCCAGAGAGAAGGAGGGAGAATCTCCCATCCGCTGTTTCACTCTCCAGTTGCCTTCAGCGGCCAAGGCTGGACCAGGATCCAGGGACTGGGAACTCAAGTCTTCTGTGTGGGTAACAGGGATCCAACTACTTGAGCCATGGCCTGCTGCCTCCCAGGCACACTGACAGGAAGATGGGATCGGGAGCCGGGGATCGAACCCTGGTAGTATTCCAGAATGGGATGTAGGCATCCTTATTACCCGCCCCTTACACAGTACACATCCTCTGGGAATCCTGACCAAGGCAGGTTTTGCTGGAGAATGTAGGTAAGATGCTACGCGCGATTGTCCTATTCTCATGTCTTGTAAAAGTCACAAATTTTAAACACCTGCAATGCAGAATCATGACTTTATGTACTTGATCCTAAACGTTTGCAAGCCATAAGCAGCCCCAGTCCTTGGCGCTGCTCTCCTGGCCTCCCCACCCTGCTCTGCTGGGTCATCCCTCCCTGCTTCTCCAGGGCCCGTCCCTCTCTCTGTCCACTCACCCACTTGGGTCCCCTGGGGGACCGCTGACCCTAGGAGGAGCGGCAGAGACAGCAGGACAGGCACCATCTTCCCTGGTGCCTGGCTGGAAGGTTCTGGACAGAATGCAGGTCTTTCACTGGGCCTGGACCCGAGCCCAGGGGAGGTGAACCCGCAGGCCAATGAGAGGCTCAGCTTGTGCTCCTCCCCCGACCTCCCATGGCGAGAAAAGGGGAAAGACTGGCGGAGCGGTGGTGGGGGGAGTGTGAGGCCCTGAGGGCTGCAGTAGGTCCTTAAACTAAGAGCTATGAGGGTGTGTGTGTGTATGTGTGTGTGTGTGCGTGTGCGTGTGTGTGTGTGTGTGTGTGTGTGAAGGGGGCCCATGGGCTGGAAGCAAGGTGTGGGTAGTGAGTGGTACCTACTGGGATGTGTGGCACGCTTTCGGCGGGACTTCCATGCTGTAAGATCACACTTCATCCCTCCCCTCTGGGAAAACTCTCAACAAGTTCCAGAGTATGGGCCTGTGTAGACCCCAGCCCCAGCAGGCCCATCATTCCCACACGCCTCACCTGTCGGGGCTCTGTCCGAGGGACATTCACCTCCCTCCCTTTCCGTGGTGGACAGTCAACCATCCACCCGCCTGGACGCCCCTCTTCCACCCTGCCCTTTGCAGTCACCCCATCGCCTTCTCTTCCTCCTTTGAGCAGTTCTGTACTAGGTTTGGCTCAGGGAGCAGATGTTCCACACAGCGAGTCAGGTGCCAGGTGTCCTGGCAGTGGCTCCCGCTACTAATTCCTGAAGTCGCGTTAACTTTGTAGATGTTCTGTTAATTCACTTTGTAGCATCTGCTGCCCTCTGCTGGCAGTTGCAAGTGTTTGCAGGAGTAGTTCTGGGGTGTGATTTAAAACTTTTTTTTTAAAAAAAAGATTTATTTATTTTTATTGGAAAGGCAGATATACAGAGAGGAGGAGAGACAGAGAGGAAGATCTTCCATCTACTGGTTCACTCCCCAAGTGACTGTAACGGCTGGAACTGAGCCAGTCCGAAGTCAGGAGCCAGGAGCTCTTCCGGGTCTCCCATGCGGTGCAGGGTCCCAAGGCTTTGGGCCGTCCTCGACTGCCTTCCCCGGCCACAAGCAGGGAGCTGGATGGGAAGCAGGGCCGCTGGAATTAGAACCAGCGACCATGTGGGATCCCGGCGCGTGCAAGGAGAGGACTTTAACTACTGCACTACTGTGCTGGGCCCCTAAAACATTTTTTAAAAAGATTTATTTATTTTAGTTGGTAAGGCAGCTAGGGACTTAGGTAAGTTGCTCCTCCTCCCTTCAGCCTCACCTGACATATTGCTCAGAGTTCAGGAAGGGCGGCATTACCCAACAGCCACACACACACACACACACACACACACACACACTCAAAGGGGTAGGCAATGGGTGGCCAATGACCTGCAATTCATTCTGTGTTTCCTGTCTCCCAGAGTCTCCAAAGACCAGGGTGTTAGCACTGTTTTGACTCAACCATGTTCCAAAATGATAACAATTTACAAGCCACTCCCTTACTCCTTGGACAACTAGTCAACCCACAGTAAAAGTATTGGTAGAATAGGTGCTGATGTAGTTTAATAGCAAAGAATACCCCTCCCTTCCTTCCTTGTGGACACAGGCGAAGAATAAAAACTGAAACATTTGTCGCATCCACCTTCCTCCACACCTGACTCTCCCATCTTAATCAAAGGCCCAGATGGGTGTGCATCCCTCTCAACTAATGTAAACAATATAAAATGAAAATAAAAACTTCTTACGTTAAAAAAGGTATGAGTGGGAAATTGCTGCTGGGAGAGGTGATTCATCATGGTGCTTGAGCTTTATGCTGTGTTCTTGCTGGGCAGACAGAATGAAAGGCCCTGTCTGACCTTGACCCAGACTGTGAGCAGTGTCGAGAGAGAAGTACTGGGCCGGCGTTGTGGGGTAGTGGGTTGGGCTTGCTGCCTGATATACCAGCATCCCATATGGACATGAGTTCATGTTCCAGTTATTCCACTTCGGATCCAGCTCCCGCCTAAGGGTCTGGGAAAAACAGTGGGAGATGGCCCAAGTGTTTGGGCCCCTGCCACCTGTGAAGGAGACCTGGATGAAGTTCCTGGACGAAGGCCTGGCCCAGCCCTGGACATTGTAGCCATCAAGGGAGTGAGCCAGCAGAAGTGTCTCTCTCTCTCTCTCTCATCTGATTTTCAAAATAAATAAGTCCACTTTTTTTTTTTTAAAGTGAGGTGGGCCTGGTGAGATAGCCTAGTGCCTAAAATCCTAACCTTGCAAGCACTGGAACTCCATATGGGTGCCAGTTCATGTCCCGGCTGCTCTACTTCCTTCCAGCTCCCTGCTTGTGGCCTGGGGGAAATCAGAGCAGAGGCGGTCCCGAGGCTTTTATATCCTGTATCTATGTGAGAGACCTGGCAGAAGCTCCTGGCTCCTGGCTTCAGATCGGCTCAGCTCCAGCTGTTGTGGCCACTTGGGGAGTGAACCAATGGATGGAAGATCTTTCTCTCCGTCTCTCCTCCCCTCTGTAGATCTTTCCAATAAAAATAATAAATAAAATTTAAAAAGTGAAATAAGCACTCGCTTCCTCTGGACAAAGGGCAGTGTTGCTTATAGCTCGTACTCAACACAAGAAGCTGATGCCAATGGCTTCTCTCCATGTTTCTTAGCTGAAGAGCTTGGAGAGTAGGTGAGGCCTGCACTAGGTGGCCCCATGGTACATGCGTGGCTCATAGAACTCAATAAACATTACTACACAAATGTAGTGTCCTTCCTGTCCCCTCCCCCATTACTCATGGCTTCTGTCTGCAGCTTTTCTGTTCAGGTCAATGTCATTCCTACCACCTGTGCCCCAATCACGCCTACTTAGGAGATATATCTAAGCATATATCCTCCGGGAGCCAGATTCTTGTCATGTAGGGTTTTTTCTCTAATCTGACCCTTCATTCTCCCATGTAGGTGTGGGGTCCGAATACCTTGGGCCATCCTCTACGACTTTTCCAGGCCACAAACGGGGAGTTGGAAGGGAAGTGGAGCAATCGGGACATGAATCAGTGCCTATATGGGATGCTGGTGTGTGCGAGGTAAGGCTTTAGTCGTTAAGCCATCCAGGCATTTCTTTTCTTTTTTTAACAAAAGATTATTTTTGATCCTGGTGCAATGGCTCAATTGGCTCACCCCCTGCCTTCAAGCACCAGGCTCCCGTATGGGTGTCAATTTGTGTACATCTGGAATCCTAAGGATCCTCTGGTTCATGAACCTGAACTAAAAACCCCTCTCTCCTCCTCAATCTCCTCTGAACCTAACAGGAAGAAGGTCTGATTGTTGAAGTGGGTAAGCGGTCCGATATCTAAGGAGAAATCATGGGATTTGAACCATGAGGTGTAGAGAAAGTCACAGCGGGAGGCCCTGGGAAAGAGAGAGGACTTTGAGATGTGAAGTCAGCTGTGGAATCTCACAGCAGAACAGCAAGAGCTCGCGAAGGAAGACCTGGCCTGTGGGGTCCACAGCTGCCCCGCGCCCCTTCTTCTTGTCAACTCCCCGCACTACAGACTCATGTGGGCAGGAGGACTTGGCCTTGTGCGGTAGAAAGTGCAGGCAGAAGAATTCCCTGGAAAATTCAAGCAGCGCGTCAGAGGAGATCCGCGTGAAGTCCAAGCGGGTCGCTGCCTCAGTGTCACAAGGCCGACTTGTTGCCAAGTCCTTGCCTTGCTAGAGTGCTGAGAGATGCACCTGTTGGCTGGAAAAGTTACCGATTTAAAACCCGCACAATCTTTGGAAGTCACTGAGGGTGTGGTTTTATTTTCTCTCTGTGTGATGATGGTCAGGGACCAGCTGAGCTCCTTAGATAGTTTCGTGTGGTTTCCCAGATCCAGTAGAGTTCTGGGGGAGATATTTTCCTTCCACTTTCCTTCTGCTGGTAAACTTTTTTTCCCTTGCATTTCTTACTGACCTGCAGAGCAGCTCGTTTCATCTCTGTCATGGTCAGGGTGCAGGGTCGCTGGACTGGCATGCTTCTTTATGCTCCCTGTCACTGAGGGGTGCCTGCCCCCCTGGCACATGTTGTCAACATAAGGCCGTGGGAGGAGGCTGGTCTCATCTGGTGGGAAGAGAAGAGACAAGGAGGGCATTGTTGATGGGATAAAGAAGTGGAATGAGATCCCCATGTATCCTTGGGGGCTTCTCTTGTGGCACTAACCCTCAGAAAATTACGGTGAAAGAGAAGTTTGTTTTGGTGTGTTTCGTAGAAGCTTAGAAATAATTCGGCAGACCCTTCTTCTCCTTAGCCCGTAGCACTAACCTCAGCCTCCTCGCCTAATTCCCACACTAACCCAGGGCTGTGGACATTTATAAATGGAGTCATTATGAAGGCAGGAGAAATTTATGCAACTTTGAAAAATGTCCCTATTCCTGGGCCCTGTGCGTCTCCCCACTTTCCACACCCACTTCAGACTTTAGACAAGGACGTTGGTCACTGTGGCTGGGCCATCTGTGCAGCCCAGAGTGCTGGGGTCACAGCCCTTGGCTTTCAATAATATGATCCCATGCCACAAGAATGCAGTAAACACACCTGACTCTTGAGGTAATTTGGCAAAGATGAAGAGTCTGATTTCAGAACCATTTTTGGTTCCTATCCTACCTTTTTTTTTAAAAAAAAGATTTCTTCAGGCCCAGCGGCGTGGCCTAGAGGCTAAAGTCCTCGCCTTGAACGCTCAGGGATCCCATATGGGCGCCGGTTCTAATATGGCAGCTCCACTTCCCATCTAGCTCCCTGCTTGTGGCCTGGGAAGGCAGTTGAGGATGATCCAAGGCCTTGGGACCCTGCACCCGTGTGGGGGACCCAGAAGAGGTTCCTGGATCTTGGCTTCAGATCAGGATAGCATCGGCCGTTGCGCTCACTTGGGGAGTGACTCAACAGACAGAAGATCTTCCTCTCTGTCTCTCCTCCTCTCTGTATATCTGACTTTCCAATAAACAAACAAACAAATAAATCTTAAAAAAAAGATTTCTTCTTCTTGTTATTGTTGTTATTATTATTATTTTGAAAGCAGAGTCACACAGAGAGCTGTAATGGCCAGAGCCTCTGGGACTCCCATGTGGGTTAGAAGGGCTCAAGGACCTGAGCCATCCTCCGCTGCTTTCCCAGATCATAAACAGGGAGCTTGATTAGAAGTAGAGAAGAACTGACACTGATATGGGATGCTGGTGCCACAGGTGGAGGATTAGCCTGCTGCACATGGTGCTGCCTCTCTTCCTACATCCTGCCTTTCCCACTCACTGCCTAAGCTATCTTTGCAAGGCATTTCAGCTGTATGTGGCTTCATTTCCTTACCCGTCTATAAAGACACAGTTAATGCCCACATCATGGGATTGTAATGAGGATGGAATGAGTTAGTATTTGATAGGGATTGGCTCACAGTGAGGGTTGGAGTCCTATGTGCCTCACCTTCTTTTCTTCCTGGTCTTAAACTGCAAACAACAGACTAGATGTTTCAAGGCCTTAAAACCTGGGTGTAAGTCTGTTTCTCTTTTATGAAACTAAGCTCATAAGCAAGCAGTCCAGTGCTGGTGAAATGTCCTCTGTATCACCAGGGCCCCGGAAACTTTCAACCGTAGTGGCTTACATCCTCAAGAATCAGGGTTCAAGATGTGTTTTCTGAAAGTTTCCACTGAGCAACTTTGACACCTCATTGGTCACCTCTAACTGCAATGAATGCTGAGATGTTGCCTTTTCACTAGGCACTTGGATTAAAATCAGGCTTTCCTTACAAAGGGAAAAGGGAAGAGTGGAGGTTGGGTAGACAGGTTGTGATCAGGGAAACGGTGGGTAATAGAAGAACTCCACTGCTGTCTTGCTGTCTCTACAGACCACAGGATGGGTGATTTGTGTGAGAGGAGGCGTTGATTTAGCTGACTGCCGGGGAGGCTGGCCAAGTCCAGGAGTGGGGCTGACCTGTCCTCCTCATGACTGCCATGGAATGGCAGAGAACATCACACGGAGAGAGTGGGGGAGGGGGTCAGAGGGAGCTCACACTTACAGCAAAGCCACTCCCACACTAACCCGTTGATCCACTGCCCTGTGACTGCAGTAAGCCCCGCTCTGGAGGCAGAGCCCTTCCCTCTCAATAATCCCCCCACTCAACACTGCTGCTCAGGGACTGAGTTTCCAGCACATGAAGCCGTAGAACACTGAATAGTCCTATGTCGTGAGGGGATGTTGACAGGCTCTGAATTTCCTGTCCTGTGAGTGGTCTTGTCACATCCCTGCCAAGTTTATTCATGGGTGATCTTAGAGTGACCTTAAAAATTCTGTTAGCTCCCTGTACGATTTTTTTAAGATTTACTTACTGGGGGGTCTGGCACAGTGGCCTAGTGGCTGAAGTCCTTGCTTTGAATGCACTAGCATCCCATATGGCCTCTGGTTCTAATCCCAGCAACTCTGCTTCCCATCCAGCTCCTTGCGTGTGGTCTGGGAAGGCAGTAAAGGATGACCCAAAGCCTTGGGACCCTGCATCCACATGGGAGACCTAGAAGAAGTTCCTGGCTCCTGGATTTGGATTGGCGCAGCACCGGCTGTTGTGATCACTTGGGGAGTGAATCATCGGACGGAAGATCTTCCTCTCTGTCTCTCCTCCTCTCTGAATATCTGACTTTGCAATAAAAGTAAATAAATCTTTTTTTAAAAGATTTTTTAAAAGAAAAATTTATTTATTTTTATTTAAAAGGCATATTTATATACAGAGAGAAAGATCTTCAATCCACAGATTCACTCCCCAAATTGCCACAACAGCCAGAGCTAAGGTGATCTAAAGCCTGGAACCAGGAGCTTCTTTTGGGTCTTCCATATGGGTGCAGGATCCCAAGACCTTGGGAACTGCTCTGCTGCTTTCGTAGGCCATAAACCAGGAGTTGGATGGAAACTGGAGTGGCTGGGACATGAACTGGTTCCCATATGGAATGCCTGTGTCTGAATGTAGAGGGCTAGTCTGTTGAACTACTGTACTGACCCCTCTCTGCATTATTTTAGCAAGATCATGTCTGTGAACCTCTGGGAAGCCCTTGGAGAATTAAGAATAGCTTATTTCCTGTAGGAACCCACAAGATTTGTTGGTGGTGGGTCTCCCAGAGAACCTTAGAAAGGAGGCCAGGGGAAAGGAAGGCCATGAGGGTAGATGGCTGTCTGCCTCAGTTAACAAGGTGCTCTGTGCCCAGAACGCGTCTGTGCTCAGGAACAAGTGTTGTGCTGGACTGACATCATGCCAGAGCCGGGAGCACTATCTAGAACCCGGGTTTCTTCCAGTTCTACCCCCCAAAATGGCCAATGCCAACTACAGGAGTTGTCTCAGGTGACGGAATGGACCAGTCCCCCCTTCTGCATTCCCTCAGCCTCAGGATTTATGCTCTCTGCAGGGAATTATTATCCTGCATCCACACCTGCTTGGCCAGCCTCTCTCCCCTTCCAGTTCTGGGCCACATCTCTGGAGGGGATGCTGGCTGTAGCCGCAGGGATGCAGATGTGGGTGGGGATCCCAGGTCTCAAAGGGTCTGATGGAGAGTGCCAGGCTCCCTGGGAAGCTGGAGGGAGTGTGCGTCAGATTCCCAGGGTGCTATGAGAGGGTGGCGGCCGTGCTGTCTCTTTCAGCCAAGTGAGGAGGGCATCCTGAGGTTCCCCTTCTGAAGCCTGGGATGAAGCCTGTCTGAGCAAATGACACCCACGCACAAGCAAGCATGCGCTGCTGTGTTCACATGCAAACCCACACTTAACGCATGCAGGCACGCCCACCCACACCATGTCTTCTGTTGGCAAACTGGTGCTTTGGCGTTTGGTCTGGCAGAGTAGGGCTTAGCAGGGATTCCTTGCTGGCCCTACGTGCTGCCTGCAAACTCCCATGTTGGAAACACGCTGACGCCACTGCTTTCCTTTCAGATCTGCAAGCCCACCTCTGTTCAGTTAGAAAACATGGCCCTTCTTCTTCAAAAACAGAGAGCTTTCTCCTGAGCCTGCCTCCAGCTGCAATTCCTTCACCCTTCAGGAAAGCTGCCAGAAATGCCGAGGGAAGGGAGAAGCCGTGGGTGGTGGCAGGAGGTGGGGCCAGGGGAAGAGTTGGGACCCCACGCTGGGCTGTAGCTGGAGGACTCTTCTCTCTGCTCCTTTTCCTGCTGTTGATGCCTCTGCTCAAGCTGCAGGTGAGTGCGAGTGGATGTGTGGGCAGAGAGCAGCTAGCTCTGCAGAGAGGCTAGCTCTGAGTCTAGTGCAGCAGGGTGTGTGTGTGTGTGTGTGGGGGGTGTCCTGTGGTCTAGTGACTCCTCCAGCTGTAATGCACATATAGATCACTGGGGATTCTACTGCAATTCAGCTGTAACTTAGGAAGTCTGGGGTGTGGGCCTGAGAGCCTGCTGTTCTGGTGACACCAGGGTTGCTGCTCCAGGGCCATGCTTTCAGTAAGATTCTAGACTGTTTGCCAGCCCAGGTGGTGTGAGATGGGACCGATGAACCCAGGCCTGCACCCTTGTTGGCAGCCAAGGCCCCAGCCTTTCCTTACACCTGAACTTCCAGCCACCAATGGAATATTGAGAATTTTCTCCAAAAAAACCAAGAGACGCTTAGAAAAGTTCTGATCAAAATCATGATGGAATTAAAAAATCTCCTTAGATAGTTTGAAAATCTATTCAAACTCTGGGCTTCCTTTTTCTCTGAAAACTCTTGAGCTTATAAGTTTTTCTTCTCTGACTCAAATAGTTTTTCAGGAAGGTTTATTTATTTGAAAGGCATAGCATCAAGGAACAGGTAGGGGAAAGAAGGGGATTGGGGAGAGGAAAGGGAAGTAAGGGCAGAGAGAGAGAGAGAGAGAGAGAGAGAGAGAGAGAGAGAGAAGGGAGATTTTCTATTTACTGGTTCACTCCTGAAATAGCTACAATAGCCAGGGCTGGGCCAGGCAGAAGCCAGGAGTCTGGAGTTCCACCTGGGACTCCCTTATGGGTTGCAGGGGCCCACGTACTTGGGCCATGATACACTGTTCTCCCAGCTGCATAAACTGAATTTCACAGCAGAGGAGCCAGGACTGGAACTGGTATTATAACACCCTCATCCCCTCAGGCAGCAGACTAATGCCTGCCCCTGACCAAAATCACGACAGGGCTCAAGTCCTGCTGGCTCCCAAATAAATGTGCTTGGCCATTGCTTCTTCACTCTTAGACATGGAACAGAATTCCCTGGATCAGGCTTTGTCAAAGGGCCCTGCTAGCCTCTCCCCTTCCTCCTAGGCCTCCACTCCAGAGGCCCTGAGGTCTGGCCTGGAGGTCCTCCTGTCTGTGGGGTGAAGCTGCAGCCTTACTTGTGTCAGAGGAGGATGCAGGTCCCAGAGAATGACACATATGGGTTGTGGACAGCTGGGCCATGTTGTAGGGTCTGCAGGAAATGAGGCGGGTAGGGAGAAATGGGAGGGAGTGGGAGAAATCCCTCTTGGTCTGCAGGCATTTTGTCTTCTCCAGGAGACCCCAAACCTGTGTGGAATTAAGGGCTGTGTTGGTGTGCCAACAGCCTCTTGGGGAAGAGCAAGGAAGGGTGTTTCAGAAACAGAGACTATATTGAAGATAACCCAGAAGAATTTGCCAGAGGGCTAAAGGCACAGCTGATGGAGAACAATTCAAAATGTGACTCCTTCTTGGTAGATATTCTTTTGGCTTATCGCACACATGGTCAAAGACAGATTTTAGAAACTCCTCAATTCCTTGACCAAAACAGCATCATGTCTGAGTTTGCCATCTTTATTTTTGTTGAGACAGCTGCTTGGTCTTAGTGCTAAGCAGCCATTCTCAACTGTTCCCATTTACCTGAAACCGTGACTTGGGCCCTTACACCCATGTGGGAGATCTCAAGAAGCTCCTGGGCCCGGAGCTCCCTCTGTTGGAGGAGAGCAGTATGCCCGCTCTGACCATCGTTCTCTGCTTTAACAGGATGAGTGGCCAGTTCCTGAGGCAGCTGCTGGCCGAGGAGAGCCGGCACTCCACAGCCGTGGGGCGCCTCCTGCTCCCCGTGCTCCTGGGATTCCGCCTCGTGCTGCTGGCTGCCTGCGGGCCTGGGGTCTACGGAGATGAGCAGAGTGAATTTGTGTGTCACACCCAGCAGCCAGGCTGCAAGGCCGCCTGCTACGATGCTTTCCACCCCCTCTCTCCACTGCGCTTCTGGGCCTTCCAGGTCACCTTGGTGGCCGTACCCAGCGCCCTCTATGTGGGGTTTGTCCTGTATCACGTGATCTGGCGTTGGGAAGTAGCAGGAAAGCTGAAGAAGGAGGAGGAGACCCTGGCCTGTCAAGGGGAGAGCAGTGGAAATGCCTCAAGGACTGGGAACCTGAGGCTGCTCTGGGCCTATGTGGCACAGTTGGGGGCTCGACTGGTCCTTGAGGGAGCAGCCCTGGGGGGGCAGTTCCACCTGTATGGATTTCAGATGCCCAGTTCCTTTGCATGCCGTCGAGAGCCTTGCCTGGGCAGTATAACCTGTACTCTGTCCCGCCCCTCCGAGAAGAGCATCTTCCTCAAGGCCATGTTTGGGATCAGTGGGCTCTGTCTCTTCTTGACCCTTTTGGAGCTGGTACTTCTGGGCCTGGGAAGATGGTGGAGGATCTGGAAGCAGCGACCTTCCTCTTCCAACTTCTTCCCACCTTCAGAGAGTGCTAGAAGTCAGAAGGAACCAACCAATACCATCCCAGGGATGGAAACAAAACAGAAGCTTCGGGAAGCAGGTGAGGAGGACGGCAGTGGTCTTCTTTTGTCCTGTGCCTGATGTTTCTGTCCTGATCAACTTCTCCACCCTATCCACCTTGTGCAGCACAAGTGCCACTTCCATGTGTTGCTAAGTAGAGAATCAAATTCCAGGCAGAGTGTTCTGACCATAGCTCCCAACCCGTCCCCTAGTGTCCACTCTCATTGAATGGGTGATTCCCTCCAGGGGCCTGGACAAGAGTTAGTCCATTGTAGCCCTTCTCTTAAGTCTGTTCCCTCTTAGGAACGAAGTCTCAGGTTCTGCTTAATTACTTTGTAGCATTGTGAAGACACCCAGATCACCTAAAGAAAACCCTATGATTGGATCTTCTCATCATCCAGTGAGTGGGGATTCACGTTCATGACAAAAGAGAGGCTGTTGAAGGGTCTCTAAGGGCCGTGGTGAGCCATGCTGTCTAAGGCATTTCTGGGAAGGGTTCCTGATTGTGCTTCTCACAAGAATTCTCAGGGGTCGGCACCAGAATTTTCCAAGGATTGATTCCAGAGTCAGCCGGAAGCCTCCATAAACCTTGCTACTTTCCCTGCCCTGCTCAATAAACGTTGACAACTGCTATTGGCTTTCCTGTTGCTGCAGACACTCCTTCCTGATTTAGTCTCTCCACTTAGCATTCTGCTGCTCTTAATTCTTTACACTTCCCAACTTTGAAGTCCTATAACCTGTAAATGACCCTAGTCCAGCAGTGTATATCACAGCGAAGCATGTATAACAGTATCTCTTAATATCTACTTGAGATACATTCAAACATATGGCCACATCCTTTGAGAATACCATGGATTGAAAAGCTTTGTCTCTAGACCACTGATTGTTCTGATTTTTACTTCATTTTTTAATTCTCCTCTTGCTGTGTTGTAGCTGTTTCATGGTCTTTAACACAGCAACAACTCACTTGAGAATAAGTCCCTGTTTTTAAGCTCTCAGCCTTCAAATCAATAGGGTTCCCCTGCTGACTTCTGAGTAATAGCACAAGAGTTCTGCATCCCAGTGTGATTCCATAGTTAGCTGAACCCTGAATATTAGGGGCATCCGGAAACCTTAGATCTCGGGGTTGGCGGTCCTCCCCTGGGGGAATGAAGATGGACTCGGAGGTGTGTGTGTGTGTGTGTGTGTGTGTGTGTGTGTGTGTTCACTTGCTCACAGCTGGGTCAGATCGCCCTCTCGGGGCCGCGGGTAAGGAGTAGGGGTGGAGGCAGAATTCGCCCTTCAGCTGTGGAGAAACACCCCGAGACGGGAAGCGCCTCCGGACTGAACCCTACCTTGTCCTCACTCGTGGCCCCAAGGCCTCCTCGCCCAGTGCCCTCCTCACTGGCAGCGCGCAGGATCCGCCCCTAGTCCCGTCATGCTTCGCGCTCAGCCCCGAGGACGCCATGCGTGCCTTCTCGGCGACCAACCCCAGAAGGCACCGCCTGCCCCCCGCGCAGGGCGGGGTTGTTGTCCGCCGCTCGCCGCATCCCGGGTTTCCTGAGGAGGAAGCTGAGTTTCCTTTTCACTCCCTGAGGCGCTGGTCCCGGGTTCGAGAGCCAGGGGCTTCTCTGCGCCCGCCCGCCCGCCCTCTCGGAGCGACTCAGCGGCCGAGCAGCGAGCGACATGGAAGCCGAGGACTTCCAAGACGAGCTGACCTGTTCCATCTGCCTGGACTACTTCCAGGATCCGGTGTCCATCGAGTGCGGGCACAATTTCTGCCGTCACTGCCTGAACCGCAGCTGGACACCGAGCGTCGGCTACTTGCTCTGCCCCGAGTGCCGGCAGCAGTCAACGCCCCGCGCGATGCGGCCCAACTGGGCCCTGGCCAGGATCACGGACAAGAGGCGGCGCGGGCGGCAGGGCGCGGGGTCTCAGGAGCTGTGCCGCCGCCACCGGGAACCCCTGCGGCTCTTCTGCGAGGTCGACCAGCGGCCCGTGTGCTTGGTCTGCAGGGAGTCCCAGGAGCACCAGGCCCACGCCATGGCACCCATCGACGAGGCCTTTGAGGACTACCGGGTGAGCCGGCCGCCCCCATGACCGGTTTACCCACGAGCGTTCACTAGCTTCTCTTAAAAGACCCCATCAAGTGGCTGCCATTCCCACGGGAAGCATGAAAAGACCCCTCTCCCCAAACACACACTCAAGAACCATGCATGAATCTCAAGAAATGGGTTAAGGATTAGAACAAGGGCAGTGCAAGCCTTACTTGTCACTGGATAGCATTTTCAGGGGTCTGCAGCTGAGGACCCCCTAGTTACAGAAAAGATTACCGGGAGGGTGTGTACCAGTGCTGGTACCCGGAAACTTGATGTTAACCATATGTTTATCTTAAAACGTCCAGTAGTACAAACAGTGTCTCTTTAACCCTGTTATGCAACATATTAACGTTTAAGTGAAACTCATCAGTAAAATAATTTACGTTCCTTTTTTACACTTGCTTTTGAAATCAGTGTTTGTTTTACACTTAAAGCATGTGTCATTTAGGACTATCTACATTTGAGGTGCCTGAGTGGCTAATGGATGCTATATTGTACAGGACAGGTGTCATAGAATAGGGAGAGCCCAGCTGGGGTTGATAAGATTGGTTTTTCTGTGACTTTCTTCACTGGTTGGAAAAATGACTTAATACTTGGGGATTCACAATCGTTACTGTCTCCCCGTTAAGACAAGTGGGATAAATCAGTTTACTTTCCTTGGCTCCACCCACACTTTCCTGGCTTTTGTTTCAAGTCTGTTCTCTTTCTCTACCCACACCCTGAATTCTTCAGATCCTTTTAGCTTCTAGCTTGAAGATCTTCCTTGATCATGCTTTCCTGAGTAGCCCTACCCCCTTCCATTACCAACGGGTGTAACTCCAGTGGTCTCCAACAGAATTGATATTCAGTAAGTATGTGAACATGCATATTTAGAGACACAGTGAAAGTGTTTTGGGAAATGTACGGTTTTCTCAGCTGACTACAAGCAAAACACAAACCAAAAAACAAAACCATGCACAGCTGCTTTCATTTTGTAACTACTTTTGATGCTAAGCGTTGTTCCAGAATCAGGTACTAAATGGATGACAAAGGGACATAAACCCATAGACCATTAATTTCAGTGTTGCGAGAGCTGTTGAAGTATGAGCCTTGTACACAGAGGATCTGGGGTCAGACTGATTGGTGAGGAGTTAGGGAAGAATAACTTTAGTTCCTGAAGGGTGAGTATAGCCAAGTAGGAGAGAGTATTAAAGGACAAAGTAGGAGAGAGAATATATAGCATGTGATGTAAGGAGAGGACTGGAAGGTCCTCGGGACTTCTGAGATGTGGAGTAGGAGTTGGGGTTGAAGAAAGGCAAGAGCCGTATCATGAAAGGTCTGTTCATAGTAAAATGGTGGAGCTTTCTCTGTGTGGCAGTAGAATGATAAGGCAGGGAATGATACCATTTTGTTTGTTTGTTTGTTTTAGAATGGTTACTTTCGCACTCATGTGTAAATAGAAGAAAAAACTAAGTAGCCTACTTTTTAAAAGATTTGAAACAGGAGGTAATGATTGAATTAGTGCAAGGCATGAGTGATGAAGAGGCAGTGGGTTAATTTTGAGCTGGAAAGGCTTGGTGACCAGTTAATTGGTCCTCATAGGTGAGAGAGAGAGGAAGCTAGGCTGGCAGTCCAGATTTCTGGGTCCGCAGGCAGATGATGATTGTGTGGTTAATGGTGCTAAAGTGTGAGAGAGGGAGGGTGGGCTTTAGGACAGAAGACCCCATGCTTATTTTGGAACGCGTTAAGTGTGGAATAACTGACAGGAAGTAACGGAGAGTCCCCCAGGGGGCCATGTAGAATGTGAAAGATAGGTATACAGAGAAGCTTGAACCACCTTCTGCTTTCCCAGGCTCGTAGCAGGGAGCTGAATTGGAACTCTAGCCAATACCCATATAGTATGTGGGCATTGAAGGCCTTGGCTTAACCCACTGGGCTACAATGCCAGTTTCCTGCCCCCTCCCTACTTCTTAATTTGTGACGTCACTCGCAGTCCATCTGGTAACTGAAACTGAAATCCATGAATTAAGTTCGGACTCTTCTCCTTCTAAAGCTATTTGATTACTAGTTCCGGCTGGTTTTCTTCTGTGTTTTTCCAGCCTGTCTGCTTCTATCTGAGGGCATGTCCAATATTGGTTAATGTTGACTAACTGATTTCTTGCTAACACAAATGCATAAGTTTCTTGTAGAAATTAAAAGGCAACAAAAGTTTATAAAATCTTAGGTTCCCCTTCCCCAAACTTACAAGTAATGAACAGAAATAATCATTGTTAATATTAAGATATGTCTCCTTCCATATAATCATGCATAAGCACACATGTACACAAGTACACATAAATTCTTTTCAAAATTTATGCAAAGCATGTTAATTTGCTTTTGACTTAACGCAAACATCACCAAGTAAGGACCTACCTGAAATTGATATACCGTAAATAATAATGACCCAATAATGGATTGAGAATAATGCTGCAATGAACGTTTTTTACATGATTGCTACTATTCTTACATTATTAGAAGTGGGATAATGTATATTTTGTCAAATCCTGCCAGTTACCCTTCTAAAAAAATGGCATCTTTTTACCCACTTGTTTATGATGTCAGAGGTCCTTTTCCATACCAATACTACATATTTATTAACCTAACAAAAAATTTTATTTTTTGCCAACTTATTAGGTAATGTCTATATAGTATATATAGAAATAGTACGAAAATATTTCTTATCATAGGCTGTGACTATCTTCAGTATTTTCTCAGTCTCCATTTAGATTGAATGGTTTTTAATTCTTAAGAAGGATTCTCTGAGATGATGATGATGATGTTACTTTTGTGTGTTTCTGCTGGCAGAAAAAACTTGTTAGTGCTGAAAGTAGGCTTGCAGTCAAGATGAAGATGGCTATGCAGTTACAGGACACAGAGCTGAAGAATGCTACAAAGTGGAAGGTAATAGAGGGATTTGGACATTTATTGGCACCAAGGCTTTTTGAGTCTGGGTTCATTTTGGAGGGAGAAATGTGCAGGGTAATCCTGAATTGTTACATTGCTTGCATATAAAGTGATAGAACAGAAAGTGTCTGGTCCTACTGGCCTGTGACTTTGGGTAATGTGAGTTTCACACTCTCTATTTAATACTTTAGTGTATTTCCTGGGTCAAAGTTGGTTTGGGTCCATAGCACTATGGGAGGAAACATAGGAATGGATTTTGCTTTTAGTAAGTCTAGTGTGGTTGGGCGGTACTGTGTGCTGCACAGTCCTGAAGATTTAATGGAACCAAAGAGTACATTTTCTGAAGGCTAATGTGGAAGTGCATTTTATTTTTTTATTTTTAGTTTTTTAAAAATTATTTTTATTGGAAAGGCAAATTTACAGAGAAAAGGAGAGACAGAGAGAAAGAGCTTCTGTTTGCTTATTCATTCCCCAAATGTCTGCAACGACGGGAGTTTAGTCTATCTAAATCCAGGAGCCTCCTCTGGGTCTCTCATCTGGGTGCAAGGTCCCAAGCACTTGTTCCATCCTCCCCTGCTTTCCCAGGCGATAAGCAGGGAGCTGGATGGGAAGTAGAGAGCCAGAATATGAACCAGCACTTAATGGGATGTTGGCACTTAAAAGTGGAGGATTAGCCAGTTGAGCTGTCATGCTGCCCTAAAAGTGCATTTTAGTCTGAAAAGGTATATAAGCAAATTATTGCTGTTAAAAGTAGACATTGATATGTTTGAATACTGTGAAAAGTTACAGAGATATCAAGTACATATAAAAAAGTATGGAAGTTTGCGTGAGGCGAGTCGGAGATTTCTCTGGAACAGTTGATGAGAATGAAAAGGACCATAAATTGCTGGGGAGTCACGTGCAAGAAATTGGGAGCAAGGGCCAGACAAAACAAGCACTGAATGAATCTTATGTGGTCACAGGAGAAGATAAAGAATCAGGAAATGAGAATCAGCACAGAATTTTCAAAGCTGCACCACTTTCTTGCTGACGAAGAGCAGTTGATTCTTCAGAGACTGAGAGAAGAAGATGAAGAAACCCAGAAGAAAATGAATGAGAACATGTTAATGCTCAATCAGATCATCACTTCCTTGAAGAAGCTCATGCTGGAGGTGGGGGCCAAGAGCCAGGCTTCCACCCTCGAGTTGCTTCAGGTAGGATGGGCGTGAAATGAGTTATTTTGGTCTTTGCATAGTGTTCGTTAACATCACTAACAGAACCCACTCTTGTCCCCAGAGTTGAATGTACTTGCTGGTGAAGGGTTTAATAGAAGGCATGTCCTATACGTGTTAATAATTGTTTTACTACTGTCATTATGGGAGTAAGGAGTCAAAGATTCATCATTCAGAGGAAACTAGTGAAAAAATTAGGTGATGAGCTGAGGAGATGTGAGGTGTTTACATGCACATGGCTTGGTACTTTATGTATGTCCTGAAGTACATCTGAGACTTTTTGTTCATTTTGTTTGCACAGTCGTAATTCTTTATTAAAAGAGTAAAAGCAAGCATTAAATCACAAAACATAATTACATCTGTAGTTAAGAGTGATTTATATAACTTTTGCTAATTAGTAATCATTACAATGACAGCTTAAATAGTTATCTTAAACCCAGATTAAAAAAATTTTTTAATCCCCGGATTTTGATTGATATATTCATTTAGATAATTTTTTAATATTCAGTCATTCTAAAGGATTATAATTCTGACTCAGAATTAAATTTGAACCTTATCTGGACAATAAGATGCTGGACTCTCTGTATGGTCTATGCCCACAATGAAGGAATCATGACTGGATATGAACTGTACTACTGTAACAATATGGAGGAATTCAATATGGGGGGAAGGTTTGGGGAGGGAATGGGGGAATCCCAGAGCCTATGAAACTGTGTCATAAAATGATATATATATAAAAAATTTGGATCTTTCGGCCAGTTTGTTACCAAGACTCTTTCCTTTGAGTTTATATTCTCTGAAGGTGAAATGTCCTTTTAGTTTTCAGTTTTTAGGTAAGTTTCTACATTTGTGACTGCCCCTATTTTTTTATTTTGACAGTAATAGTCCATATTGGGTTTTCTTTCTTCTCTTCACAGAATCCCAAACATGTGTTGACAAGGTATGAGCTCCTACTCTTCTAAGGGGACCTGAGTGGAATGATAAGGTGTTGGTTGAGCATAGTGGAAACAAGGCCTGGGGGTCCAAGGGTCATTTGGATTATTCCTTGAGGGGTCTTGGGAGGAGAAATTTTACTGTTGCATTTTTGCAAGGATGGGAGCAAAAGTGGTCTGAGCTTTGGATTTGGAAACTTCCGGTGGGAAATGGTGGGGAGTTTGGCTGCCTTAGTTGTCTCCTGAGAAAGAGTAGCTTTCTGTACTTTGCCTAGGTGTGAGAACCAGGATGATGTGAACTACTCCCCTGAAGTTGTAAATGTGAAGACAGTGTGCCAGATACCAATGATGAAGGAAATGCTGAAGAGATTCCGAGGTGAGCAGAATTCCTAGGACTTATGGCTCCCTAGATATCCTTCAAATAATAGAATAAGCGATGAGTGAATTCTGGAAAAGAAGAGAAAACAGAATATGAAGCCAATGAGACTGTCAGGAAAAATGTAATAATTACTTAGGAATAAATGAGTATATCTGAACATTTATTTAATATTGTGTTATAGGTAGAAAGAGACTTATTCCTGTCTTTCTAAGAGTTAAAAGCAAATGAAAGAGACCATATATCATTTACTGTAGTATTGTAGAAGTCAGTGTTTGGGAGTGATAGAATAAAATGTTCTAGAAGTACATAGGAAGGGCTCTGTGGGGGGTGAGTGTGAAAATTTTCACAGCACAAATGATAGTTCTGGTGTTTGAAAGGCTAGTAGGAGTTTTCCAAGTGGAAAATGAGGGTGTACTTTTTCAAGCAGAGTCAGCAGCATGGGCCAAGGTGTAGAGAAAACGGAAGGGTACCAAATGGGACAGCATGATTGGGTACATGGGTGGGAAAGGCAACAGCTGAGGATGAGAAGGTGAGGATAGGACAGAAAGATAATAATTCATTGGATCTCCACATGTTATTAAAAACCATACACGTAATTATCAATACCTGCTTAAGGACCATATTGTGGTTATTCACTTCCAGTGATAATGGAGTAATAGGGGCTGAATTTACTCTCCTAGTTGAAGCAATTAAATAAAGGCATAATACATGAAACAGCAATTTACATGACACTGAACATCAGACAGTGAAAGACGTGGATCCCTAAAAAGTGTGAAGGAAATCAGGTGAGTTGTCAAGGGAGGTGAGAGTTCAAACAGAACTGAACACGGAGTGTACAAAGTTCTGGGAGAGCTGCACTGAGAGTGAACCCCGAAGAGGGACTCCCCGAATATTCATTGGAAAATTGATCAACACGTGTCTTAAGAGTGAAACAGTGCTGGTGCTCACCAGTTCCTCAGCCAGCTTGGAAAACTCTGAAATGAGGCACTTGGTAGAGTAATCAGGAAAATCATGCCTCACTAATCAAGAATATCTGGCCTTCGAGTGAACACTATTTTATGCTGACCTAATAAATCAGGAAAGTCAGACTAAAAGGATCAAACTGTATCTGTGTAAATGTATCCCAGGACAAAGCTCAAGAAATTGGTAAGTGCGGGGAAAAACACAATAAGAAAAAACAAAAACAATACAAAAAAAAAACCAAAACCCAACTATGTAAATTCAGTATAATTCACAGTGTCTGGTGTTATGTTAAGCGTTATCAGATATGTAAAACAAAGGAAAGCAATGGTAATAATCAACTTAAATTGACTCAGATGTTAGAATAAGCATAGGGCATTGAAACAGTTATTCCTGTTTTGTGATGAGGCGTATAGAAGCACGGAAGACATAAAAAAGATGCAGGTTGCGTTTATAGAGATAAAAAGTATACTGGCTGAGATGAATAAACTGTATGAAATTAATACTTGGTTAGATCTTGCAGAAGGAAAGATTAGTGAACTTAATGATGGAAATGCTACAGAATAAACCAAAACAGATTTTAAAGTTGGAAGAGCAACAGTTGGAAAAAAAAGCATCAGTGACTTTGGGACGACTTTATGCTGCTTAATCGATGGTGATTAGAGTCTCTGAGAAGAGTAGTAGGGATGGAGATGGGGCAAGAAAAAATATTTGAAGAAATATTTCACATTAAATGAGACGTCTTAAGTCCACAGGTTCAAGAAATTCAACAAACCCTAAGAAAAGAAATATGACGACAAATACACCAAAGCATATCATAAACAATTTGCTGAAAACCAGCAATATAAAGAAAATCTTAAACGGAGCCGCAGCAAAAAAAAATGGGTAGTGCTTTACGGCGGAAAAGATGACTTGATAATTCTCTTTAAAAAATCTTTAAAAAAGTGAGGCATCTGGGACTTGAAATGGCGTTCCAGTATGGAATTACAGTATCACCAAGGATAGTTTAGCTTGCTGTACGCTTGCATCCATGTGGGACACTTGGGAAAGGCTCCTGGTTCGTGGCTTCAGATTGGCACGGTTCTGGCCACTGTGGCCATTTGGTCAGCAAACCAGTGGGTGGAGGATCTTTCTGTCCTTTGTATAAGTATGTCTTTCAATTAAAAACAGATGAATCTTAAAAAAAAATAAGGCCCTTTTGATGAAAAGTAAAACACATTTTATAATTTGTGGGAGGCAGTTAAAATGGTATTTAAGTGGAAATTGGTAGTACGAGCCACTTTCAAAGATAATTTTTTTTAAGTTTTATTTATTTTTATTGGAAAGTCAGATATAGAGAGAGGAGGATAGACAGAAAGGAAGATCTTCCATCCGATGATTCACTCCCCAAGTGGCCACAACAGCTGGAGCTGAGCCAATCCGAAGCCAGGAACTTCTTCCAGGTCTCCCACTCAGGTACAGGGTCCCAAAGCCTTGGGCCGTCCTCGACTGCTTTCCCAGGCCACAAGCAGGGAGCTGGATGGGAGGCAGGGCAGCTGGGATTAGAATTGGTGCCCATATGGGATCCCGGGCATGCAAGGCCAGGACCTTAACCGCTATGCTATTGTGCTGGACCCCAAAGATAATTTTTAAATTAATGGCTTTAGCTGCTGCTTTAATATACTACAAATAGAAGAGATTAAATAGAAGAGATTGGAAATGGAAATTAGAGCATAAATTATTACAGTAGAATATCAGAAAGCAACAGAACAAAATTGATGAAAAGAAACTGGTGCCTTGAGGCTGTGAATAAAAATCATTCATCTTTAAGCAGAATGACCACAAAAAAGAAGAGATACATTAGTAACGTTAGAAATTAGAATGGTAACATAAATAAAGTGGAAAGAATAACAGAATATTCAGTGCAACTTCATGCTTATAAATTGAAGAACAGATGAAATGGACAAGGTCCTTAAAAGACACAAATTACCAAAACTGACTTGTGAGAAAATAGATGACTGGAGCAACTTTGTTTCTGTTAAATTGATGTTACTGTTTAAAAGCCTTCAGGAGGCTTCACTGGTGAATTCCCTTGGACACTTGAGAAATAAATAGCAATTTTGTATGAATTCTTAGAAAACTGGAAGAGGAGTGAATATTTACCAATTGTTAGGAGGCCAACTTCACCATGATCCTAAATTCAGGCAAAGTAATAGCAAAGAATGAATAGTATCTCTCTGAACATAGATATAGGAATCCTGGAAAAAAATTTAGAAAATTTAGTTCAACCATGTATTGAAAGGTCAGTACATGATAATCACAGCCAAGTTGATTTATCCCAAAAAGCAGACTTGATTTAATTTTTTTTAACATCTTTCCAAGTGTTTCTGTGCATTGTGAAGACCTGGAATCATGAAGTCATGAGCTTCTACTCTTCTGGGTCCTAGTCTTTTAGAGAAGAAGGGAAATGAGTATTTCAAGTTGCTAAAGTTCTGCTAGTCCCACAGTACTGAGAAGCAGTTGGGAGGCCGTGAAGAATCTCATCCCTAACAGAACCTGTCAAGAGGAGAGAGATGAACTTGAAGCTGTAAGACGTTGGCATTTTGGAGGAGGATGGGTGATGAGCTTTCATTTATCTCAGCTTTCATTTTCTCCACAGTGGCGGTAAGCCTAGCTGAAGATACAGCTCATCCCAAACTTATCATCTCCCAGGAAGGGAGATATGTGAAAAATGGAGCACCAGCCAGTTACTGGCCAGTATTTTCTACAGCATGGAGCTACTTCACTGGACGGAAGACTCAGAACAACACACATGTTGAGAGATTTCAGCACTTGCCTTGTGTCCTGGGAAAAAATGTTTTCACTTCAGGAAAACATTACTGGGAAGTGGAGAATAAAGATAGCCTAGAGATCGCTGTGGGGGTGTGTCGGGAAGATGTCATGGGGATTAATGATAGTAGAGAATTATCCCCACATATGGGAATCTGGATCATTTACTGGAGTTCAGCTGGCTATCGGCCCTTGACAAGCCTTCCTGTCATTCCTGTCAAACAAGAACCAGCGCTTCACCGGGTTGGGATTTACCTAGATCACGGCGCTGGGAATGTTTCATTCTACAGCGCTGTGGATGGAGTGCACTTACACACTTTCTCTTTTCCTTTCGTTTCACGCCTCAGACCATTTTTTTGGTTGAGTCCGTTGGCATCTTTAGTCATCCCAGTAGCTGATGGAAAATAAAGCCATTCTTCTCCTGTCAGAAAGTCTCTCTTTGTACCCCAGATGAGGGACATGCGTACTCTAGCCCTCCTTTACATCATATTGTTCCATACATCCTCAGCAGTCCGTCAATAGCGTCGTTGCAGATTCTGATTTCATGTTGTTTGGTCCTGTGCATAGGTGGATGTGAAAGACCTGATTGGTCGCCCTTCCAGTGTACACTCCCCTAGTTCTTGTCTTTGGAGTCTTTCTAATGGAATTTTTGGGCTTTGCTTCAGAGGATTGGTGCAGAGGAAGCGATCATGTGAAGTAGTTCTAGCCATGGAGATGGGATGGGAAATTTTCTAAGCTGCTTCTGTTTGGTGTTTTGTAACCACTGACAAGAGATGCTTGGGAAGACAACAGTCCTGCATGAACATTAGCAGCTCTGTTAGGGCTGAGAATACAGAAAAGGTCGAAGAAGCCTGGTGTCTGTGGCCATCATTAAACTGTTGAAGTTTTCCTAATTGCACAGTTTTTATATGAGATAATCATACTCTTACTATCTAAGACCATTTTAATTGCATTTGGTCATTTATAGCCCAAAGTACCCTGATGGTTATTAAGGGCACAAAGCGTGGGCATCCTACAATCTTACCTTTTTTGAAATTTGGCAAAACTACAGAATTATCTAGTCATGCATTCCCTCTTTGCAGTCAATCCTGATATTCCCACTTTCTGGATCAGGAAATTGAGGAAATCTTCCCTTTTATGCCCTTGTTGCTCTGCCTCTTTTCTAGCCACGGTCTCTGTCCTCAAGTGTTCACTATGCTGTGTGATATTCAGCTTCATATTTTGAATACACAGGATTATTCATGTCATATGCATTCATTGGGAAACATTTGTTGTATGTTAATGTTGTACTAGCCTCTTAATAAAATAGGATATTAAAATCCCAGTGGGAAGCCTGAAACCCTTGGAGTCCCAGCTCAGTGTTGGTCAGCTGGTGAATGAGTGAGTGAGTGTTGGGATTAAAACCAGGATATTTTTTTTGATGTGAAAACCCATACGCTCTTTCTCTTCAGTTTATTTGTAATCACTTGTTGAATGTTGATTGTGGGCCATCCTGATCTTTGTTTCAGGTTTTAATTTTGTTTTGTGATTTTTATCCTGTATGTATTTTCTTCACTTTACCTTTCTGCTGTAGAATGCACATATTGATGATTGTAATATTTAGTGGATATTTTAAAAACAGTGTTTATTTCTCCTTGGCATTGCTAAAGTCATATATGTGTTTGCTATAGAAAATTTTGAACATAAAAGTACAAAAATCAAAGTTATCCGTAATCTGACTATCACCAATATTTTAATGTATCTGCTTCCAGACTTTCAATAAAGACTTTCTGGCAGTGATTTCAGCAATCTCTCAAACTTCTCTCCTCCTGATGTCCCTACCTGCCCTTTGTTTTCCTGTTTAGCCTTGATTATTCCTTTCACTTAACAATTTCTGTTGAATTCCTCTTAACTCTCCAGGATGCGTGCTGTTACGGGTTGGAATATGTCGCCCCCAAAGACTTTGAAGTCTTTCCTGTTACCTTATTTTGAGGCTGTTTGTGTAAGCCCTGTTCTAGTTGTCCTTATGAGTGAAATTTTGTATACACACACACACACACACACACACACACACACACACACACACACAAGATGCAGTCAAGGGACCGGAGAGGGAGGAAGAAGGCTTAAACTACCTTGCGGGTGGTGGTATCTACCGTATTTTGGGATGCTTATGTGTGGACAACTTACCCTGTTCTTTTGTTGATTATTTAGTCATTTTTATCACATAGGCTTGTAAGTATGTATATCATCATTAGGTATATAATTAAAGTATCCTAACTTTTACCTTGAGAGACTCTGGCATGTTACTGCGTGTATTGCTTTAACGTGTCCCTGTCCTTATATTTTTTGAGTGCTTTGTGTCCTGGCACTAAAGGTGTGCCATACTCATCTAGTATTTTTCTTGCTTTGACCCTAGACTCCACTAGGTCTGGGGAATCCAAGAGTGACACCTTGGAGACTCTGGGCTTCCTGACCCATTACCAGATTAAAAAACCCAAATGGCCCCTACCCTTCTACCTTAAAGTTGTGCTTCTCCACCGCTCAGCACACCTGCTAATGAGGTGCCCACGAAGAAAGCTTTCTGAGCAGGAAATTGTTTCTTCTTATGCCTGTTTTGGGTTTTTGTTTTTCAGTTTTGTTGTTTCCTTTGATAGAAGTTCTCATATCCCTTTTTAAAAAAAAAAATTAATGCTAGGTTAGTAGAGGCTTAACCATGATAGAAATGATGGAGGGGGCGGGAGAGGGGAACTGATATCTCCCAAGATTAACCTTCACTTTTTAAAATTACTGTACATGTGATTTTTTTCCTGTTCATACATTTCAATAAAAATAGTTTGGAAAATAAAGATTTATTTTGTTTTTTATTGGAAAGTCAGATATACAGAGGGAAGGAGAGACAGAGAGTAAAATCTTCTGTCCAATGATTCACTCCCAAGTGGCTGCAATGGCTGGAGCTGTGCCGATCCAAAGCCAGGAGTCAGGAACTTCCTCTGTGTCTCTTGCATGGGTGCAGAGTCCCAAGGCTTTGGGCTGTCGACTGCTTTCCCAGGCCACAAGCAGGGAGCTGGTTGGGAAGTGGGGTTGCGGGGATTAGAACTGGTCCCCATATGGGATCCCAGTCTGTACAAGGCGAGGACTTTAGCTGCTATGCTACTGTGCTGGGCCCCTCAGTTATTTTTTAAAAAGGTTTATATTTTTTTTGTTTAAAAGACAGAATGATAGAAAGGGAGAGACATTTTTCTTTCATCAGTGTCAAATTAACCAATAATTTCTTTTCATTGTTGATTTTCATCTCCTTTGCTATGCAGAAGCTTTTCAGTTAGACAAAATTTGTGTACTTATTTTTATTTCTGTGTAATTAAGTGATATCCAAAAATTCTTACCCTTTTACCAATTCCAATGTCCTGTAGTGTTTAACTTGTATTTTCTTCTAGTAGTAGCCTTTAACCCATTTTAAGTTGGTCTTTTTTTTATGGTGAGAGATATTGGTTTGATCTCACCCTTGATATCTGTTTATAGTTTTCCTGATATTATTATTGAAAATGCTGTCCTTTTTCCAGTTCTCTTTAGTATCTTTGTTGAAAATCAGTTGGCTCTATAACTTCTAGGTTTGCTATTCTATTTAATATTTGTATGCATTTGCTTTTATGCCACTATGTTGTTTCAAGTCCTGTAGCTTTATAATATATTTTGAAGTGAGTCGGTATAATGTTGTATACTTTGTTCTATTTACTAAAAATTTCTTTTCCTATCCAGAGTAATTGTGGTTTTATATGAACCTTAGAGTTGTTTTTTGTTTAGTTCTGTGAAGAATGTCTTTGGTATTTTGATAGGAATTGAGTTGAACCTGTATTTTGCTTTGGATAGTAGGGATATTTTTTAATAATACCGATTCTTTCAAACCATTACCATGGGATACTTTTTTTTAAAAAAAGATTTATTTATTTTTATTGAAAAGGCAGATTTACAGAGAGAAGGAGAGACAGAAAAAGATCTTCCATGTGCTGATTCACTTTCTAAATGGCTGTTACAGCTGGAGCTGAGCTGATCTGAAGCCAAGAGCCAGGAGCCAGGAGCCAGGAGCCAGGAGCTGCTTTCTGGTCTCCCTTGTGGATGCAGAGTCCCAAGGCTTTGGGCTGTCCCCCACTGCTTTCTCAGGCCACAGGCAGAGAGCTGGGTGGGAAGTGGAGCATCCTGTTGGGATGTCATACTTGCAGGTGGAGGATTAGCCAGTTGAGCTATTGTGCTGACTCTGAGGGATGCTTTTTAAAAAAATTATGTAAAGTGGACAAATTTCACCTAAGTTGCAATACAGATTTAGGAGCTCAGTGATACTTCCACCTTACTCTCTCTCCTGCCTGCATTTCCCCTCTGCCATCCTCCTTCTTTATTTCTTTGTTTTTCCTAGTTTTACAATAAAATTATTTTCCTTTTGCAGTCAGAGTTAACATTCCATAAGCTAAAACTGTAAACACATGGTAAGTAGAAAATAATAACAAAGATCAAAAACCCTGGAAAGCCAAAAAAAAAAAAAAAAAGTGTTCCTCGGGAGTATAAAGTCTATACAACGTCACTCTTACACCTATAGATTTTATCTTTTGTACTCTGTGTATTAGTTAATCCAGATTCATCTTTAATTTCTTTCACATATGTCTATAGTTTTCATAATCAAGGGATGCCGATGCTTCAAAGTAGATAATTAGCCTGTTAAGCCATGATGCCAGCACTGGGCTAGATCAAAGATGTGTCTTAGAATGGTTGGATGGAAAGGCGCTAGAGAGATCTAAGTTCCAAAATGAAGAACGAGCCAGGAACACCAAGAATTATTATTTATCATGGTTAATTGGCCTCTACAGAGAATATTTTTCCCTTTGGAGTTATACTCCTTAAAATACTTAAACAACTCCCCTAAGTCCTACAAACTCTGAAAAGTCCTTTGGGGACTGTTATCTCAATGTTTGCACTACAGACTAATTGGCATCTTGGGTAACAGTGTGCAGAAGATACCCAGGATGTGTCCTCTGGGTGGGATTCCCTTAAGCTTTCTGTTTGGTGTCATCAGTTTGCTGTAGCTGACATCGTAGAGTCCTCTGTGCTAAGGAGATGTTTCATATCTCACAGGTGGTGCTCTTCTTTCCTCATAACTGGCTCGTGCCAGTCCAAACATGTTCTTTTGCTATCTCCTTTGCTTACTGTTGAGGTTATATTTATGCAGTTAAGAAGAACTTCCTGAATACAGTAGCCAAGTTTATATTAAGTAGGGAATGAGGTGCAAAGTTACGAAGAGTGTGGTAGTGATCCAAAACAAATAGAGAAATCCAAAACAAATTTTATTTTGACTCTGGACATATTGAGGGGTAAGCTGTTTTAGCTTCCTCATCAGGTAACATTAATAGAAATTTCTGTTGCTTAAGCTCTCAAGGTGGGGTTGAGAAGTGGATGAAATAAATGTTTACAGCCAGAAAAAACAGCTTCATGATTCAGAGGTCAACCATCAGGCATCTAGAAACTTCTTTTCTGCTGTGGTATGCTGATGGAGCTCAAAATTCAAGCACAGAATGTGAGCGCTACAGACTCTTATGTGTATTGATGTTGCTGGTAATGCTGTCATCTAGAATAATTACTGCAATAATGATTAGCTTTTAGCTATGATTTAGCTTTTAGCTAATGATTTAGCTATTCTAAATGCAGATTTTTAAGGTTAGAGAAGGAAGTGTGGATAGGAGTCTCAATAAAGACCTTTTGGATGATCTGTAACCAGTGTGTGGGTCCTTGTGGACTATCCTGTCTTTTCCATTTCATTTCATACTTGTGCTGCTGATAAGTCTTTGCAGAAGAAATTCCAGGTAAGATAATGTTGGAATGTGAGACATCCAGGAAGTCCTAATTGGAAACTAGTATGCTAGCAGCTTACTTACCAACCTGATTTGATCAATCAGTGCAGTGTTTGATCAATCAATGAAGATAGGCTCTTGAGAGGGTGGGGAAAAAATGTCACATGAAAGACACAAGTTGGAATGGAGAATTACTGGGAAAGTTGCCTAACACAGACAGGAGTCGGATTATGAGAATCCTGCACTGTGCGCCTATATATGAAGAAATATGGACATTAATGAAGAGAGAAATGTGTTATGGATATTTAAGTGAAAGAGTTGTAGATGTCTTGATTGGCTTGGAGTGATCAGAAGTATGGGGGAAGTTGGATTCTTAATCCACTGATGCTGAACATATGATAGTGTTATGTGATGTCCAGAAAGATGAGCTGGTCTATTTTAGTTGGCATTAACACGAAATGACCAGTATAGTATAGTAAACTAATTTGCCTATTGGTTCAGTTTTATCAAGAGCTTAAAGTGATTGTGGTTATCTCAGCTGTCAGTAAGTGGAATTATTGTTATGTCATCCAGGTGATGAATTTCTCCCCCTGGAATTAAGATCTCTAAATCATTAGAGGCTAAAAAATGCAGGGACAGGCAGCCAAAATGGTGCTGCTGTATCATAGTTACTAGCAGTTCCTGTGAGAATACTGTTCCCCATTTCTAACTGTTGAGCCCTGGTTGTGGGAGAAACAGAATCACAAATTGGATTCACTTAGAGTATATCTTAAGGGAAGCATCGCCTGCGATGCAATATATTTTCAACTGTGTTGTTGCAGCTGTCTTCAAGAAATAATTACTCTTTTCTAACAGGCCAGCTCTTGCAGGATGATGGATATATATATAGTAAGACTTTCATCAGTAGAATCTTACACACACACCTCATTTTCAGTGACCTGGGTTCCTTGGTCGGGTGCAAATCTTCATGGAACACCATTATGGTGAATCAATTGCATTCTGTGAGTCCATAGGTGGTAGGTTTGCTAGGAGCATTCCTGGCAAGAAAGACAAAACCATACTGAGAGTGCACATCTGTTACAGGAGGAACAAAGCCCTGTCCATTCCACATTGAAAGTAATTCATTATAATCAGTCAGCTACCCAAGTAACTGGCTGGACATTATTTGGTGTGTTACTGTATTGGAGTCTCAGCGTTGGTCTTGGTTGTTGGATGAAAGAGCCGTCAGCAGTGGTTCTTGAGTAAAAGCCCATGTTGCTGACCCCACACATCGTCTCTATCCTTCCTCTCACACCACTTTGTTTCTGGGTCAATTGAGCAATGATAGTGTGACTAGGGGTAAGGATGCTAATATTAAAAAATAGGATAGTACTTCATTAGGGGTATTAGTAAATATTTTTTACTTATATTTGATACCTTTGTGTACAGAAACCAAATATATTTGTTTTAAATTCTAGGATATAAAAAGGAACATATGCATCACTTAGGAGAAAAAAGGAGTATTACTCTAACAAAGAGAACTTTGTGTTTTCTCGTGCGGAAAGTGAATGTGTTTTTTGTTTGCGAAATGACTACATCTTGTTGAGGCAGATGATGGTTGTATTTATTTGAATATTAAGCATGACTTTAGGGGATGTATATGTGTGCCAAACTGACAGAAGATGGGCTCTGATGGCACTGTCAGTGAGGTTAGGATAAATAACATTTCTCAGAATCTCCATCTTTGTGTGTTTTGGTTAAGGTGGAGCATAGATTTTCTTAGAAGATCCACAGGGTAGAAGGAGACAGCCATTGTGTGATTCACACTGTTGCTGATGACCTTAACACGTCGGTGTGAAACATCAGCTGATCTCAGACATGATTTGTCTTGCCTCTAGGATCTATGTAAGCTTCTCTGACTTCTGTGCCAACTGTGTGTTTATCTCCTTTAAGAAGATTGTCATAGCTTCTGCAAGACACGCACGCCACAACTTCTAGATGCAAAAAGAACTGAGACGTAGTTAAATGTACCCTTGAGGGTGACAGCTGATGCGTTTGAATTCCAGCTTACTCTTGTTCTGCCATCTTTATAGCCATCGTCAATTCTAACTTCAGACATAAATGTAGCAGCTTTGCTTAGACTATTTTATCAGCACAATTGTGTAGTCAATATTCTGTCACAAAACCCATTGTATGTATTGTATTTATAGTGACTTTATAAGAATTCAGCTTCTCTGATTAAATTCAGATGATGATTTAAGCAAGCAAATAAATGCTCCTTGAATATTTAAATACAGAATCAGCGCTCATTTGTTTGCATATTTATATCTAAATCAGTTATTTTTATGTGAGGATGTTTTTCTTGAAGGTGGCATGTATTAGAGTTAGATATTCTAGAATTCCAAAGTGAATATGTCTATGCAGATGGCTACTAAATTTTCTTTCACAAAAGCTTTCCCATTACTGCTGTTGTTTAATAGAAAAAAATACTCTTCAAAAATTCTTCAATCAGAATTCTTCAAGTATTTTGGGTCCTAGTTTTTCTGGTATCATACTTCAGTGCCACTCCCTGTTTCCCCAGGACTGTGAGAGGGGACATGTGGCAGAGGAATCAGACCTCCATGGCAGACTTCATCCTGGAAGGGCTCTTTGATGACTCCCTCATCCACCTTTTTCTCTTCTCCTTGACCATGGTGGTCTTCTTCGTTGCAGTGATTGGCAACAGCCTGACCATTCTGCTCATCTGTGCGGATCCCCGGCTTCACACTCCAATGTACTTCCTACTCAGCCAGCTCTCCCTCATGGACCTGATGCACGTGTGCACAACCATCCCCAAGATGGCTACCAACTACCTGTCTGGCAAGAAGTCCATCTCCTTTGTGGGCTGTGCAACGCAGCACTTTGTCTATTTGTCGCTGGGTGGTGCCGAGTGTCTTCTGCTGTCCTTCATGTCTTATGACCGCTATGTTGCTATCTGTCACCCTTTGCGTTACAGTGTGCTGATGAACAGAAGGGTGGGACTGATGATGGCTGTCATGTCATGGTCGGGGGCTTGCGTCAACTCCCTCATTCACACCATGGTCTTGATGTACTCCCCTTTCTGTGGGTCTCGGAAAATCCACCACTTCTATTGTGAGTTTCCAGCTATTGTGCAGTTGATATGTGGTGATATCAGTGTTTATGAGACCACGGAGTATATCAGCACCGTCCTGCTTCTCCTGCTGCCCATCCTCCTGGTTTGTGCATCGTACATCTTCATCCTGCACAGTGTCGTTCAGATGCGTTCAGCTGGGAGTAAGAGAAATGCCTTTGCCACGTGTAGCTCTCACCTCACTGTGGTTTCCCTCTGGTTTGGTGCCTGCATCTTTTCGTATATGAGGCCCAGATCTGAGCGCACACCATTGCAAGACAAAGTTGGATCTGTGTTCTATAGCATCATCACTCCCACACTGAATCCGCTGATTTATACTCTTCGCAATAAGGATGTAGCGAGGGCCCTGAGGAGAGTACTGAGGAGGGATGTTATCACCCAAAAATGGAAGTTGTGGTAGCCCTGAGTACAGAGTGGATGGGATAATTTCTTAAATTGATACAGACAACCTGCTAATATTTTTGAAGGATCTGGATCCTCGTTGTTCTGAGTATTGTGAGAATGACATTGTTGACACAGAATTCCATTATACTAACTTGGCGTTAGGCATGCGAGCACTGTGGAGCATATTTCTGGAAGACTTTATAGTCAATGTAAAATTAATAAAAATTTTTAAAGAAGGTGTACAATGACCATTCACATTCTATGAAAGATAATAATGTAATAAAGATTTAAAAGCTATTAGTAATTATTATCTGAATTAACTGAAATAAGTATATTGCTGCAGGTAGGAATTTAGTTCCTGGTCAGCTCCTGATTACATCTTTCTTCCATTATAGACTCTGGGAGACAGGTGATTGCTGAAGAAGTTGGATTTGAGTTAGTGACTCCTGACATTAGCCTGGCCTAATCTTGGACACATGGGGAACTTAGGAGAATGAGCTAGCAGATAGGAACCTTCACTAGTCCTGTTTGTCTTACTCTCAAATCTTAAAAATATAAAAGGAAAAAAAACTTCTGTTCCACTAGAGAGTATTTCTGGACTATAGAATTGGAGTATGCTATTGGAAGTATGCAAAGTACAGAGTGATCCAAAGATGTTTTGAAAGGAATGATGAATGATGTAAAAGTTATATTCATAGAATCTTAGAGTTCCTTGCATCACAGTGTTACAATGAATATATATTTGCTGAGTACCTTCATTGATCCATGGCTCAACTAAGGGTTTGCAATCTACCTACATGAAATTTACTGTTATTAATACATATATTTAGGATTCTTTCTATATAATCAGACTGCCATATCAGATAGCAATGTGATCTTTCAGAATTTCACAGGAGAAAAGTATTTTTCTGGTTTTGAGGCTTTCTAACCTTGTGATTAGGAGTCAGAACGGATTTGCACTAGAACCTCTCAATTTGCTGTAATCTCATATATTTAATGAGAAAAGTAGGGCTGTCCACAATAACGTGCTCATTATGGTTGTTTAGCTCTAAGCATGGCCCATTAGGGAAACATTGGGCACCTACCTCTTGGGTTGCCATTCCCACTGGTGAGCATGAGATCCAGGACTGGGGGCAGGCATGGCTAGACAGAGAGTGACACCCACCAGCATAAGTGTGGACTGGATAGTTAAGCTGGTTGGGTTGAACTAGGCTTCAATGCTCATTGACATATATGAGATCTGAATGAGATGTGGGGCAGACTGGATCAGTTTGTTGTATATACTGGCAATCATAGGAACCAGGGTAGGAAGCAGGCCTGGTGGAGGTTACTGGGGGAGTCACTCCAACTAGGTTGCAGCTCCCACTGGTTTATATAAAGGCTGAGTGTGTGGTGGGCAGGATTGGGCTTGGGCTGCAATGCCCATTGGTTTATGGAGAGGACAAGGCTGGAGACATAACTGACTCAGCAATCACAACCACCAGTGTGTGCATAGGCTGACTTGGGTGACAGACTTTATCAGATCCTGTATTGGCAAGCACACACAAGAATCAGGTCTTGGATCACCTCAGATGGAGTTTCTTTGAGGATGCCCCCAACTGAATCACTGGACTCAGAACTACAACCATGGGGAGAATTGTATGTTCCATGGTCTGACTATGGAGTGCATGTATCAGAGCTGGGCCTTCTCAGTGGCTTAGCTGGAACAGTGGACAGCATATCCAGATGCACATGGAGTATATGGCAGTACATTGGAGCCTGCAGAAGATTCCTGGTACCATAACAGGACAGAGGGCAGAACGTATTGAATAACTATAAGTGTTGGCACTGAATATCTGGACAATGTGGTTGATGTCAGCCAGTGAATTCTGGAGGGATTTCATTGTGCTTGGAGTAGCAAGATTGACAGAAATTCAGAACTGTTGAATTATCAAAACTGCTTGAGCACTTGTAGCATGTCACACATCAGGAACCTGGGGATGGCATTGGTGGCCACTTCCCATCCCAGGGTGTAGAGGCAGTACGGAGGTTGAGTGTGGTTTCTCCCCTTGCCTTCCCCTTCCCCCAGAAACAGGAAGGAAAAAGAGAATATGAAAACAATGATCTCACCCACTTTCCTCTAGCCTTTGACCCTCCCCACACTAATCAACCATGTAAAAAGCATAAAAAAATTAACAAAAGAAAAACTAGTATGAATGTTTATCATGTGATCCAGCTAAGCAAGGAATGATAGGACTAAAAGAACAGAGAGAGAGAGAGAGAGAGAGAGAGAGAGAGAGAGAGAGAATCCACAAACCAGAGAGGTTAAGTCTACATATCTCACACTGGTTTTGTCATTTCCTCTGCTCTGTATTACACAGCAGACAATATACTGAACATACACAGAGACGGCAGCTCAATGTGCCCACACTAATCATGTCCCTGTACCATAGGTTGATTTCATGTTTATTTCCAACTATTATTAGCAAAGCACACTGAGGTCTCTGGTGTTCTTAGTTACAGCCTTCATGAAGAGCAAAGCTGAAGTCCATGGGAAAATCAAGCTCCATGTACAGTCCCATCTCTTGACACAACGTTTAGAATAATGGGTTTCTCAGGTTTAAGGATCATATCCATGGCCAATTTCATGGGGATCTGCAATAGTGAAGTAAGCATGATGAGAAGTAGAAGACTATTGATCCCATTAGGTTAAAGAAAATTGCCAGTAAAACCTTATTGACCCATGAGGTACACTAACCTGGGTTTCCTTACAAGGCTTGAAGGAGAAGTTCTGCATTAACCTGACGAGAGCAAATTTTAAATTCATGAGAGCAAACCTCATGCCAATGCAATTTCGGGGACCAAGTCCAAAGGGAAGGTAGGTGTAAGGATTGATTTTGTCTTTGTTCTTCTTACTGAACCTGGTTCCACAACAGAAATGAAAACAAATTAGTGATACAATAAGCCACAAGAATCACCTATTCGGGTTGTTGCTTATCCCTCTCAAGCATTTGTGGGTTAGCCATTCAGATCTTGCTCTTACTGAGCTTTAAGAGTTGTAAGTTACTCCTCACCTTAGAGGAGCTTTCTGTCTTGTTGATGAGATGAGGTAGATGCTGTTTAAAGACATTTCACATGTGTACTTTAAAGTTACATTTACAGTGGTTGATGTGTCCATATTCTGGAATGCATGTGAGAAGTAAGAATGATGGAAGGGAGAGCAGGTTCCTGCTTCAACTGATAGTTGTTTTGGTCGTATGTTCACAGAGAAAGGAGAAGATTCCTTCTAATATCTAAATAAACTTTTCCATATTCTCTCTTCTATAATCTCCTTCTTACCTGTTCTCCTCCTCCTTCTTTTTCAACTTTTCTTAACTTCCCGCCTTTTCTACCACCCTTTTCTTCTCTTTCCTCTCTAAATTCTCCCTCAAATACTTTTTGAGATCCTCCCCACCACCACTCTCCTTTTCTCTCGCCATAATAGTTTAAGTAAGATAATTTCTTATGGCATCTGATGCTACTCAACTTTAATACCATCAGTGACTTTCTTTCTTATCTCTTTGATAAATTCCTTGAGTGTTAAACATCATTTATCCAAATAATTCCTGGATAGTTCGTGGTTTTTAGAAAAGAATGTACTGTGAAAATGACCATGGAATGTAGTTCTTTGATTTTAAAAGAGTGCTGAAATTTTGTTGGCTATTCTTAAGTTTCTATAGGTTATTTTGCTCACGGTACTTTATCAGAGGAAGGCAATGTGTGAGAGAGCTGATATCGTTTATGGGTGTTGGGACAAGTGTTAGGCCTGTGTAGATGTGGTAAAAAATGCTCTGTAGACTTGATTTTCTTTTTCTTTTAAATTGCGTATTTTCTACAATTCTGTAGGCTCTGTGACTTCCCTTACCTCCTCCGCAAATTCCCTTTCACCTACTCCCCTGCCTTGATTTCCCCTATGTTCTTACAGTAGTATAGTCCTTCAGAAGCAGTCATAACCCCAACAGTGAAACTGGACATCCTTCTCTAGATCTGGTTCTTAGTGGGAAAGCTTCCAGAATTTCCCCATTTAATATGATGCTGGCATTAGGTGTTTTGTATATTGTTTTGATTGTATTATGGAATGTTCCTTCTAAGCCTATCTTGTTGAAGGTTTTTTAGCATGAAGTGGTATTGGATTTTATCAAATGCTTGTTCTGCATCTATTGAGATGATCATATGTTTTCTATTTTTCAGTTTATTTGTATGGTGAATCACATTTATTCATTTGCAAATGTTAAGCCATCCTTGTTGGCTAGTATTTTCTTGATGGTCACTGCCTCCATGTTCATCATGGGTGTTGGTCTGTAGTTATTTTTTTCTGTGTGTCTCTATCTGGCTTTGGTATTAAGGTGATATTGGCTTCCTAGAAAGAGTTTGGAAGGATTGTTTCCCTTTTTGTTGTTTGGGATAGCTTGTGGAGGATTGAGTAAGTTTTTAAAAAAACATTTGTGGAATTCTTCAGTGAAGCCAATTGGTCCAGGGCTTTTCTTGGTTGGGAGGGATTCAATTACTATATGTTTATCAGTGGAGAATAACAACCTGAATCCCCACCAATACACAATCCACACACCCAAATCCATAATATAAAATTGCTTAGCATTTTCAGAACCTGTTATATGACTTAAACCTTCTCAATGTCATGTGATTTTTTTGAATTGTACATCACGATAGTAGCATTTCTCTAGTTACCATTTTCAATAGTTTTGAAAGCAACAATTACTTTTTTCATTAAAAAATATCCTAAAATACAAATACACAGATGCAAAAGATTCTACAAGTTTGTTACATACACTAAGAGATACTATAATATGCTTGAACCAGCCTGGGTCAGATGGATTTCCTTTCCCAGGGTTTCTATACCTTTCAGGGCGGAATTCATAAGGGTCTGTCCAGTACTTTGGATCTCGGTGAAGAACATAGCTTGGCATCATCACAAGTGTCCCTTTGGGAATGAATACCCCATTGATTTCAGTATCTTTCTTACAGACTCTCTCAACTCGG